GGATGGCAGGGTTAGGTTAGTGGTTGGACTTGATGATCTTAAAGGTCTTTTCCAACCTAAACAATTCTGTGATTACAGAGGCATTTCTTCTTCAAAAGGGGTTTTTAGAAAACCCTCTTAAACTGTGTAAAATTCTGCATATTGACTTTGTAAGTTTATATTAAACTGAAATTTTTATTATATACTTTTATATGTAAATATGTATTTGTAGGAGAAGAAAAGAAAATGTTAAAATTCAGCTTTTTTTTTTTTTAAATTTAATTGAATGCTGAGAGATCTGCTATTTGCTATTTTTCTTGCAGGACATGCTATTGGAACTGTTCAGGTAGGCACCCCTATTTCTGGAGGAAAAAAAAGCTTCTTCCTTTGCTGTAAGGTTCACCCATCTGTGAGTCACAGCATATACCTCTACATAAAGGGAGGATGTTTTTAACTCTCCAAAATACCTATCTGAACAAGATAATTCAAAGGCATTGGACAGAAAATTCTGGAATTCATTGGGAACAACTTCCTCCACCTTCCAGCCAGAATTTGAAGGAGCAGGGAAAGAAGTTTAAATACATTTAGGACATGAAAGTTTCATTACTCTAAAGCCAAATAATTTCACATATAGTGGAGAAACTGCAGAAATGGGCTTTTCTATTTTAGTGCCTGACTCCAGGGTACAAACATAGTTCCAGTCTACTCATTAGATATGAAATTTCCTTTTTTTTGTGCAATAGTTGAATTACCGTCATCATATGTATTGGTTTGGTAAATGGTGCTTCACAGAGTATCATCTTCAGCTGGCTAATATCACCTGGAACTGAAAAAATCACAACACTAGTGAGTTTTCAGTTTGGGGATATTGTTTTGAAAGATGATAATCCAGGTATTGTCATAGCTTAAGTGGTTGCTTAAATTCAAATTGCTCTTGCATTCTGAGTTTCAAAAAATGTTTCTTTTGTCTTAAGTTGGAAGAAGAGTGTCAGCTTTCCTCATATGAATCAACCATATTCCTCTTATCTGAGACACAGGACAAAAAATATGAATAATGGTAACTTGCACACTTAAAAATCTAATCATGTGTGTCATGCTGCATGAGAAGATGAGGAGGTCTGGGCACAGTTGCCACTTGCCAGTAGTTCTAAGCACCCAGCCTCCTTCACTGCATCAGAATACAGGCAAGAATACAGAATACTGGCAAGAAAAGGATTAGAACCTTTATAGTTGTGAAGTCTGTAAACATACTGGAGCATAACTCAGTGCAAATAAACATTAACATTTTATTTATAACTTTTATTTGAAAGTGGTATAAAACAGACGTTATTACAAAATGAACTGAGTTCAGTATTAATGCTGAAAATTCTTTTTGGTATCTTAAGATGTTTTGGTATCTTAAGGTGTGTTGAAATATAAGCATATTGTGATTAATGTTATAATAGATTAATTACAATCTACAATTAAAAAACCACCACATGCCACTTACTGCAGAGTCAGACCCATTACTCAAATCACCAAGTGTATTTTCATATCTTTTTAAATTAAAATGCAGCAGAAAAATAATTGGAGGTTTTATCTGTCTGGAGGCTTTTCAGCATGGTTTCTAACCCTTGCATGCATCAACTCCAACCTCATTAGTAATTTCTCATTACAGTTCGCAAATTAGATGATTTTGCATGATTATTTCATATTTTTTTTTTCCAGGACTTAGTACTATGTCAGCTAACCAGCTGTTAAAATCTATTTCTGTATTTATTAGCAAACCTCACTTTCTCACAGTAGGGGAGCCATGGCTTTTAGCTGGAGCACTTCTGGCAGAAATATTCTCAGCAAAAATACCTTCTCCATATTCAAACCCAGTTGTTGATTATTCTATTGTGAGTGGAAGTTGTTGCAGACAAAAATCAATCAAATATGCTAAAATGTTATGATGTTAGGAGCCTTGGCAAAATGCTTTCAAATCATGTATTTTGCCAGTGCATACTTATAATTCAATAGAAAGCTTTTCCCCCTTTTTGTTGGTTCATTTTTCTCCAAAGTTTCCTTCACAAATTGTCAACATTAGCAATTGAATGAGAATTTCTCTGTAGAGCATCTGGTTCATCTGCCACGTTTCTCTTTACCAGTTTCTTAATAGAGATGGTCCTTGAGAAGTTTCTCCAAATTGGTATTTTCACATGACTGGCAAAGAGGAGTGAATATTCCATCACAGTTCTTTCCTTGATTTGGACAATATTGAAACACAAGCAGTTCAGCAACTTGCAGCGTCCAGCCGTGCCTCGTGAACCATACGCAGTGCAGAGCCATACTCCCCTTTGTGTTACGCAGCTGCAAAAATAGATGTTGCAGACTTCTGTAAGCAGAAATGTAATTCCAGATGCTCAAAAGTCCAGGCAATGCAGAAAAGCCATGTCATTTCAGCAGTGTGACCTTCCATGGGGAACTGTTCTCAGCCATCTTGGGAACCCTGCCAGGCCAGTCACATCACACTTGCTCTCTCGCACCTTCTTGTTATCTCTCTCAAAATTTTACTTGGGTATTCAGTAAATGCGAGTGGCTGAGAATGTCCTCACTCAGCCATTGCAAGCTACATGTTGCATGATGCTTGACTGCATCTTCCACAGCTCCGTAACATTTATCCATAGCTACTTAATAGATTTTTGCCTCAACTGCAATAATTGCAACCTACTTTTGAAATGCACAAAATCCTGTGCAGGCTATTTCTGACGTAGCCTAAAATATGTAGGTTGTACTTCTTATTTCAGGTTCTCTCTTCCTTTACACCAAATAGTTGCTTCTTTTTCTACACTTAATTCTTACCCCTAATGCAAAGCAGTATTTCAAAGCACAGTATGGAAATACAAGTCATGTTCTTGCAGACAATACCAGGAAAAGCACACACAAGATGGCAGAGAGCTGGAAATTGGGGAGTGTGACAGAAAAAGAGGGGCTGGACTGCAAGGAGGGGTGATGCTGTTCTTGAAATTAGGCTTTTAGAAAGCAGAAGAACCACCAGAGCTGGGAACCCTCTGAGAAAAACCTGAGGGTACCTGCTGCTCCCAGGTACCAGGCAAGGGCATTTACCTCTTGTGAAATTCTGTGCCTAGCTCTTCGCTTTCTTCACCACATAACCCTTGTACATCTCACCAGAGCACTCTCAAGTTGCTCTTAATTTCACGTCTGCTCCTTGATTTAATCACCCTGCCCTGCTCCTGGAACTACTTAGTTTGCATCAGGTAAAGACCACTCATCTCTTCAGGAGAGAAGCCACTGCTGCCCTAGCTGATTTCACTGCAAGACTGGGTTATTCACAAAAGTATTTCTTTATTCTGAATAACCCAGCCTTGCAATGAAATCACCTAGAGCAGACCCCAGGGCACTGAGATGCACAGAGCCAGAAACACAAGTAAGACTTTACTGATGTGTATTTGTAAGAGTATGAAGTTCTACAGAAACTATAGAAGATTAAAATGGTGTTATGGAGAATTTCCTAGAACTTAAATAAGTCAATTACACACAGCTTTAAAGAGCATTAGTTTATTATCTACTCTCCATGTGTTACCTCAGAAACAGTCTAATTATATACAAAAATTTGGAATGTTGAATAAATGCTGATCAATACAAACATTTTGTAACTGTTGACAAGGGAATATTTCTAAACAAAACCAAAATAATCATAAAGGTTTGATTCTGTGTGTTGTTTATTGCTATGTTTGTGTTCATAGAATGCTTTCAAGTATATACACATTTTTTAACGCCATTCCAAAAAAGAAACTAAAAAATATTTACATAATAAATATGTGGGAGACTTCATCTTTTCATTACATCAGATGAACTGATTCTTTAATGAACTATTAAGAATAGAAAGAATTAACAGAGTTTGCATCAACTCACTGCCATGCTGAGTAACTTAGGCTGCTGATGGATTTTATTCTACTCAAAATGTAGTTAAAGATGCATTCAAAATGAAAAGTGCTGAAAAAAACTGCTGAATCCTGGCTGGACTTGTTCAGGAGACCTCTTTCTCCCACTCTCTGCAAAATCATCTAGTTTGACACGTGTTTACCTTTACACACAGACACTGGAGGAACACACACATTTCAATCCACTGAAAACTCCATTTACTGAGTAAAATCAGCATAATCCATGTTTTATTAGGTGGTTAATTTGCTAATGTACTGAAGACAAGCTTTGGCCAAGTATTTCCACAAGAAGTACTAAACTTCTCGCTATAAATTTCTACTTCTATAGTTCTACCATAGCCAAACAATTTTTGGTAGAATTTTCCTGTGATACATAAATCTGAAAATGAAGTGACACAACAACATTTAAAACTTCTGTTACCATTAAAGCAAAATACAATACAGTATAATTCCTCAGTGATATATTTAATGTACTGCAAAATGTATACAAAGTCAGTCCAAGATCAGTAAAGAATCAGTTCTGCTTTTTAGACTTTTCCCTTCCCAAAGATTATGCAGAAGACCAAGGTAATTTAGGACCTGTCTGTACGCATTCCCTTTAAAAGGCAGTGTGTGGTAAAAATAACATGATTAAAAGTCATGAACATGTGATGTGAACATTTTGCATTTTCAATAAAAAAATAGAAACTACACAACAAAACACATCTTAGAAGGGGAACACTGAAGCCTGCCATTATATAGCTATGTTTTTCATTCTTTTCTTTGAAGATTAACAGCACACAGAAAATAAATGAATTTTATCAAAATACAGCACATTTCTGCTAATATATCAAAAAAAATCATTTCTATGTAAATATTACTGAAAATCAACTAAAAAGAAAAATATACAAAGTGTTAAAGGGTATCAATTAAAATTATTAGAACTATACACAGTACAATAAGCAATAGTTAACATCTTTGAAAGAAGTGCAATAATATTGGAATTCACTTATTTAAAAAGTACTGCTTGGTTATTACCACTAGCTACGTATAATCCCCTCTGTTCCAGCCCATTGTCCCCAAACTAAAGGAGGCTGGTGCTTTTGCTAGCTTTATTAAAAGCGTTTACTTTTGTACACATGGGTTGAAAAAAGCAACTTATACCTGTCTCAAGCTACCAACTTATATGTAATTAAAAATGAACAGCAATAACTGAATATTGCTCCAGTGACAGGCTAATCATTAGCCCCGATTAAAAACAGTTATTGGTCTTCTATGGCACTTTTCCCTGGTCCATAACAACCGTGTATTAATTATCACTGCAGATTATGCAGTCTCTATTCAATTACAAAGGAGAAAGAGAAAAATAAAGTTAATGTTTCTGGTAAACAAAATTAATAGAAGCATAATTGAATATTTTATACAGTAATAAGGAACAAAGGCAGCCTGTGGTAAATCACTATTACATTAATATAGTTAGAAACCCTTTAATGACTCTGAAGTGTCTAGTTCACATTTAATGTTACCTGTAGGAACAGCCCTTTAAGAAACATCATTACAAACTGGTGGGTTGTAATCACACCCTCCCTTTTCTCTCCTTCTCACCCCAGCAGTTCTCCATCACTGTTAAAGTTTCACAAACTTGCTTTGGTTACCTAGCTCCATGCGTATGGTTTCCTTTTTGATTAACAAGGCAATGCAAAGGCCAAACAAAATCGAGACTTTTTCATAACCCTTCCTGCATCATTTACTTTTTTGTGTGTTTAAATATATATTACAGGCAACAACCTTAAAAACTGGCCATTTCAGTTTCATTTTTAACATCTGTAAGGTTAAAACGGAGTACTTCTTATAAAGATAAAAGTATCACCATTTGCACAAAATTGGGGATTTCCATGGCAGAGAAAAACCTCTCGGCACATTTCCACAGTACAGCTGAAAAAATTATGTATGCAAGAAAACCCAACTAAACATGAATCACATGTGGCAAATGAATATTCAATGACTACATTACGAACAAATCCTGTAGAATATCACAAATTTGTAGTTACAGTCTTCCTAAAAAACACCGTAAGCTTTTATTGCATTTCCTATTGGTAGACGTACATGCCAGAACTAAACAGTTTTTCTTCTTTCCTGATTCCAGATTTAGATAGCAGATAGTTGTTTCACCTGACCTTTATTCTGCCCAACCAGCACCACCCTCCATCTACCCATTCATCTATACAATGTGCACATAGCAAAGCCAACATGTCGTATCTCCTGTCCACATCTACAGAAGTGGTTTCAGCATAACATGTTATTATCTGGTGAATAAAGGCAATAAACAGCTACAGGACAGACAGCCCTGCCATCTGTCCATCGGCTACAACTGAGGCTTTGCAAAGCCTTGCACAAAGTTTAGTAATGTGCATGAATTATTCCAAAAATAAGCCTACCATGTGTACAAAAAAGCAACACAGGTTTGTTCTTGGAGGAGTGATCCTTAGATTGCTATAATGCTTAAAAACAAGTTTATCCACCATATGCATTTCCAAAATGATTTCCTGTATGTTCTATACAGTGGTTTTTCCCCCTTTAACCACAAGTTCAGTATTTCCTGTACAAATTTTGACCATAATTCTTTTCAAGTTCCTTTCATGTATAAAAATAGGCAAAATATTCAGTTTCCCCGTAAGTCTTCAATGAATCCTGCTGGCTTTTCTCCCCAATCCACAGTATTTATGAAGAAACTTCTCGCACAATGATGAGTTCCACTGCATTCTGAAAAGTCTTTAGCAAGGATACTGCTTGCCCATGATCAATATTGATGAAGCTGTATCCATTAGCCTAAAAAGAAATATTTAAAATTGAAAATTACAGTCTCATATGCCATGTTAGTGAAACATGTCTCATTTCATGTTAGTTAGCTTTACGGTTTAAAATAACCAATTTCTGTATGAATACAGACAATAAAACACTGCAGATTTGCAGATTACATTGTTGATCTGAGCTGAACATGTACCGATATGCTACAAGAAATTAAACTACTATATTAGCCTTGGAAGAATTTTGCCCCAAAGGGACTACAAATAACCAAAAGAGAAAACTGAACTTTAAACCATTACCATCAGACATCTAATTCATCAGCCTCAACACAGCCACATCAAAACAAGCAAATGCAGTACAAATTATACATCCCAGTTTCAATATCAGAATATTTGAAATGGCATTTGTGATAAATTAGGACTATTGAAGCCTTTAACAAAGACCATCAATGGCACTGGGATGGGCAATGGCAATCTCCTGATGTCACCCTGAGCTTGAATTTTCCTATGACTCCAAACAACACTGTCATTCTTGGGATAGGTTTGGCTTGGCAAACACAGGCAGGCCCAAGTGGCCTACAAAAGACAGGGAAAACACGGCTATGGTTCATCTTCTTAGGGTGTACTACTGCAAATTCATGTTTGGTCTGAGTGGTAAAATCTTGCAGAATGATTGATTCATCCAGTTTAAACTGTTACTGCTTCCAGCTGTGCATCCCACCTTTCTCCCTGAGCTACTGCCCTTTATGTGGCAACAGAGAGAACTGGTCATGCGCTCCATGCCTTAGCTGTCCCATTTTGGAGTTGCAGTTCCTTATCCCAGCACTGAACACTTGCTGTTGCTACAAGCCGAATCCTTTGTTGTAAAGGCAGTGGTTTTTAAATCTGTCTGGGGTTGCACAGAAAGATTTACGTACAGACTGTTCAGAGAGCAGAAGTGGCAATAACCCTTCCAGATCATCATCTGTACAGAATGCCCTAGCCCCAACCTTATATGCAACAGTATCTTAAGACTTACATGCAATTATCTAGTCACTGGTCATGCAGAATATTTTTATTAGACATATGTATTGGACACACATTATAATATGCATACCTAATGCCTGTTTTACAGAGAACATTGCAAAATCAAGCATAGCAAAGTCGTTTTGGTAGAGATGATATACAGCCAAAAAATGCAGAAGTTAGTTAAGCAGCAACAAGACAGAGTGGGATTGTCATTACATCATCAGTGGGATTATCATGGGTATAAAGAACATGCTGTTACACAAAAAAATATTCTTAATTGTAAGAAATGAAACAGCCTGTAATTGTCTTAGCATGCAAATGCAACTTCTCCTTCAGCTCTTTTTCAAACTATGAATTCCTCATTAAACAAAAAGCAAAAACCCAGCAGTGCCAACATGACAAAAGGAAACTTGGTTAAAAATGGCACGCAGACAAATGAAATTCCATAAAGACAGGAATAAACCATTAAAACACGTCACCTTTCACACATGTTCCACTTCATAAATAAGTAATAAATACACTACCAGTATTTTCAAAGGTTTAACATGCTGCTTATCCCTGTATGGTGTGTTGGAGGGTTACCCCCATTCCTTAAAGTCATCTACATCAGTAAGAGAACTAGGACCTTTCTCTCCCTAATGAGGAAGAACAAGTACAGAATTATTTACCATGTTCAAAACCAAGCCATCTTAGTTGAAACAACTTGACCTCAGTTTAGTTTTCTTGTGTGCTTTTTGGCTTTATCTTTCATTCAAAGGATCAGGCTGTGTTTTCAGTTTGGATTTGTTTTAGAAAACTTCACACAATGTTGTGGTATAATTGAGATAATAGTGGGTTATTTGTTGGTTGGTTTTTTTTGGTTTTGTAGAAAACTGCAATGCAGCAAGAGTCAACTCTATCAATATTCTCAAACCAGTAATGTGGTGAATAATTAATAATTTTAACAAGTTCTGCAACTTTACAGATGAGCCCTGAAAGGTACCAACTTCCTACAGAAAAGAACTGCATAGCTGCAGCTCAGAAGCCATGGCTCCTGAAGTGACCTAACTTGGCTCACCTGCAGCAGATGGGGCAGCCAGGAGGTACGTGCTGTGACCAGCTAGTTATCAGCCAGCTTCTACCAGCACTTGCCTATGTCTAGCCTCTCAGCTGGGGGAGTGGCAGCAAAGACTGGCAGGAACTGCAGGGTGGAAGGGGATGTAACAGCAAGGTGGAGCTGGGGAGAGGGGTTGTGAGGGGCAGCTGCTGGTGTTCAGACAACATGTTGTTCAGAACATTGCATGTGAATGGCCACAAGTGAAATAATTGAATGACTAATTGAATGACTAATGAGATGCTTAAGTTCCATCTTGAATGACATTAAGCCTTGTTTTTTGTCTTTAAATGCATGAAAAACATTCAGAGTCTGAAAAAATGATCCAACGTTAATGCTTCGGCCTCTATCACCTATCCTAATGGTAGGTGGAAGAAAATTAAAAGCATCATCCCACAATACAAGAATGCTTCTGGAAAAGATACTGGCTATCTATCTAAAAATTTAAAATTCTGCTCTTAAAAAAAGGTGCAGACTAAAAATTAACTGGTATATTACACGGGCTAGTTAATTAGATGACCACAGTACCTGAATTATTTTATCCCCGGGCTGCAACAACTTAGATGCTGGTCCTTCAGGCTGCACTCTAGTTACAAAGATACCCTTGAAAAACAGGTGAAAAAGATTTTTGACAACTTATTTCATGAATAGTAGGGTAGCATGAAACAGATATAATTCAAAACATTATTCAATTTTCCGTCACAAGTAGAAAAGAATCATAGAATCATAGAATCATAGAATGTTTTGGGTTGGAAGGGACCACTAGAGGTCATCGAGTCCAACCCCCCTGCAGTCAGCAGGGACACCGCCAACTAGATCAGGTTGCTCAGAGCCCCATCCAACCTGGCCTTGTGTGCAATGTTATTCTACAGGTCTGCTGGCTTCTGTGACTGCCCTCCTTTACTGATGTTAAAGTGCCTTTAAAGGAGCACTGCAGGGCAAATTTTGATCTGCCTTTGTTTAATCTGGCAGATGTTTATGTCAAGATGAATTATCAACCACCACAAATAAGGCTATAGGCTAAATCATGTTCTCTTTTAAGGGGCTTCCTAACTGTAAACTCCATAATTCACTATCTCAAATCTGTTGACTGATATCTGGAACTGCGCAAGAACCATTCAGCTAGAATAATTGTCTGTGTTGTGAAGTGACCGCTGTGGTCACCTAACACCTTCATTTTCCATACCCCGTTGTCCCCAGTTTTCTCCCCTCCAGTCCTGGAGTTCAGTGGTTTGTGGAATATGTATACTTCGCCACCCCCACCTCACTTTCCTAAACACTAGAAACATTATTAACCAGAATGATTTTAAGATGCATTAATGTAAAATACTCACGTCATCTTCGGGTCTGAATGGATTCCCTCTACCACCAACTCCTCCCGATATACTAAATCCAAGTTCTGGATCCTTGTCAATTCTCACTCGAATCTAAGTAGGTACAACCAAAGTTAGATTAAACGGCTGAAAAATCTGCATTGAAAGCCACTGTAATGAAATTATTACTAAGCAACTCAGGTGAACAAAAGCTTTAAAAAGAAAAAAAAAACCCTCAAAAAAGCATTTATCACAGTTCAAGAGAGTATTATATCTCATAATATTAATTCAGAACAAGATTCCAGCACAACAGCATTGTGTATCGCTGTATCTAAGTTTTACTCCAATATCACTATTATTATAATCATAGTTCATGTTGGCTTTAAATTCAGAGATATTTAGATAATATGTAAATTAATTTAATGCCCCCAGCAAAAACCATGTTCCTATGAGAGAACCTGTTCCTCCTATTTCTCTTCTACTTCTAGCTGAATTTTAAAAATCAAACCTCATTCCTACTTTCAGTCTAAGTTCTACGTAGCCAACACTGTCTCCCGTTTCTCTTGCCAGAATAGTTGACTAGAAAATGTATTTTACACACGAAGTGGACATTCTTATTCTAGCACAGAAAGAAAACACAGTTCTCAGTATTTTCTCAAAGAAGCAGACTTCTTCTCAAAGAAGACCCAAAACAATACAGGGGAAACATCCTGTGTCCAAGAGCAGAAAAAAGGTTGCCACAATGAAAAAGCCATTAAATTGTGTAAAAATTTCTTACCCACATCTGTCTACCATACATAGAACTGATAATTATCAGGCATGCATCAGATGCTCACACTTTTTTTATCCTGGCTTTTGTTTATGGATGCACATTTCTACATTTGCAGGTTTTTGAACCATTCTGGATAGGAATGAATAGATGCAAAGTACTCTAAGTTGTACTGCTATTTTTTACTTCTTCTGTTACTAGATGAATGATGAGTTGGTGATAAATAAATGTAATTGAGAAATGCAATTTCTAGCTCAGTAAAAAGATGCAAACTTAAGTTTCTGGTACATTCTGTTAAAAATCTACCACATTTATCTCAAAGCTCAAAACTAGAAGAAATGTGTGACTTCAGTAGTAGAATTGCACTGATATAATGCTGACTTCTGCTGGAGATAAATTCCTGTATGGTTTTTGTCACCACCTACAGACAAATGGTAATAAACGAAAAAAATCTAACAATTCATTGCCACTAACAGACAGATGTCATACTATCAAGTAAGATTTTATTCTTACTTCTTGCTTTGCGAACTCATGGCTTTGTCTGGGAGAACACTGGGACTGGGTATAGGGAGGTTGGTGGGCAACTTTCAACATCAGATAATCAATTAATTGCTCTCTAGACGGATGTCTTGCTACTGATGATTGAGGAGGGAGATGATGGACTTGGCTGTAGTTTGCCTGAGGTCTCTGAGGCTGGCACATCTGTCCATTTGTCAAAGGAATCTGAAAAAACCACAAATACTCTGTGTCATACATTTTATAGGCAGCAATCCTCAACTCCTCCTTTATTTTTTCAATATTTCTCATACTTGACTGCTTTTAATTTTAGGAACATTACTAAAACTACTCTTCTGGATCATGTACAATTACATGCAATTTTCTTTATAGTCATCAGTTCTGACCTCCTGAGAACAAATCTGAAAACCAAAACTTACTTTGAGTGCTAATTTACTAAAACAGACTGGACAGTCTTTGCTTTCAGCACTTGTTTCACTGAGTTATCCCAATCATTATTTTCTAGTAGTGCAACTGACAGTATTGACACTTGGTTGATATCATTATAGTTTGCACTTTTATTGCATAAAATTCAGAGATTTTGTAACAATTCTCAGTAGGTCATACACAAACCAAAAATCCCATACAGCTAGCAGACCAAAACTATATGCTCTCTGAGCATCCTTTGGTGTCCACTTTGCAAGAAAACCTTCTGAGCCAATTCACAAACAAGCTCAAGATTTTAATATCATACTGTAATGATATTTTCAACAAATATTATTCTTTTGTTAACACATCTGTCACTGATTTGATAGGCATAATGATGACCAACAGCAATAAGGTACACCACTGTCAAGGCAAACAGTGCATTCAAGCCATTTCGCTAGGAATGATGCTGGAGTTGACAATGTTTCTTACTGAAGCTGCAGGGTTACTGTTCAGCTCTGCGTTGAGATGGGCAGCCTTTTCCCTTCTCGCGCTCTTACCTAGCCTAAGTAGTCACTTGATCTGTCTGTACAATTCCCACATTCCAGAAGTGCTACAGTCTTGAGTTACAGGTTTTTTTCTGCCTGCCACCATTATCCCATTACTTGTAATATACAAGGACATTAAAATACTATTATTAAAAATATTAATAATATACTATGATATATTATACATAATGTACTATTTCAGTAAAAGATTAAAAATATACTATCATTAAAATTTTATTAACATTACTAAAAATATTATAAGTAACTAAAGTGTACAAATTTCAACCTTTAACCATGCTATGTGAATGGAAACATATCAGAATCTATTCTGTTGAGTATTTTATGTCAAAGTGATTCTGAGAAATGGTAATGTGTGTATATGTACATTTTTTAGCTTATTTATAGATCAGATGTATTCAGTTTAGATGATTGTCTACTGCCTTTTCTGAAAACCTGAAGCGTGACAGGAAAACTATTTTTTGTTGCACTGCCAGAGGTAGAGTTTACATAGGCAACATGAATCAACAGCTATGCAAATTCCCAATATCAAATGTCTGTAGAAATGCAACTAAAATCACTGAAGTTATAAAAAGAAAATCAATTGTGGCAACTGCTGTAATACACAATCATCCATTTAGTTTCATTGTACTAAGTCCTGCCTGTATAGATGGTCTATAGAGATGAATACAGAATGTCTCCTACATGTTCCAGTTCATCATCACAATTTCATCACAATTTCAAGTTGTTCTTTAAAAGGATTAATCAGCTTCAGATTGCTTTCCTAAAATCATCTGCCATGTTCCAATTTCCACTTCCAATTACATCTTTTGCTGCAAATTTCTTCTTTCAAAGCCCCTGTTGCAGAAATCCAAGAACTATCCCCCTTCATATAGTTAACTATTTTGTCTTCCAAGAAGAGGATGCTATTTCATTTATGCCACTTTCGATACCTGGGTATTGCATTTTAAAGAAATCCCAGTTCCAACTGCTATCCCAACATATGTTTCTACTACTAATAAAAAAATACATCTTTACAAATAATAACAATAACCATAATAATAATGTATCTTATCCACGGGGTTATGTAGATAATTACCTGCACAGCTATTTTCTTCATGCTATCTGGAGGAACATCTTTGAGACTAAGTGTGGCAGATGAGTAACTCTGCTGTCCTGAAATGAATGCTTCATCCTGGCACTGGTCTCCGGGAGTAGAAGCCTGGGGATGCTTTAAACAGAATGCAGCAGTAAACATGGCTATCTTCACAGAATTCAAACTAAAAAATTCTCGTAAGAATCCCAGAATAAAACATTTTAAGGGCTTTATCTTTCTTTATCCTTTTTGATTAATTAGTACATTGTTTATGTAGAAAATCTTACTAGCCAAGACACCCATAAAATATTGGTGGATATTTACAATACCAGCAACTGCAGAGGTGTCGTTGATCACCAATAAACTAATAAGGCAAGTCAACAAATGCTAAGGACTGCCTATTCAGGGACTCATATGGTTAAAAGAAGTCTTCTGTTGACTTTATCCTGCTCACTATGGATACCATAACATCACTCAGGGTGCTCAGAGTTAGAGTAATTTTCTCACATTTTCTTACAAGCTAAAATATTAATTTTCTTGAATGCCTTAAGTATCTTACAGTACACTTTACATGATCAGAATTTGTTTAGGAGAGGAGAAAGCACAGTAAGATTTTGTTCAAACCTTTATCAACCTAGGTTAAATTCAGAATGGTAATCTCTTGTTCACATACATACAACAAAACCAGACAGGTTTACATAGGTTTAACCATCCATAAAAGCCAATTAGAAACCTCAACTTCATGACATTAAATTGAAAAGCCTTGCAATAAGTTTAAGACATGTGAAGTGAAGGCAAAGTATTTGATTTAATGTATATAAAATAATTTCACCATATGAATGACATTCTTTTTATTGAAAGCATTCTCTATATGTAAAAGGATAACTCTGTCAATTTAAGGACACCTCTCGGTTTATTCTTTCCCCCTCTATATATTGCAATAGCCTCCTGTAGGTACTCACTCGAACAATGTGCACACCAGAACCTCTTCCGTCTGCAACACTCAAGGCAACACTACCCTGGCTGCCATGCAGATCCCTAGAGCTGCCATAGTGAAAGCTGCTAACTGCAGCATAATTGGAATTAAAGGACCTAGACAGCATGCTCTGAATAAAGAGGGGACAGATTTAACACAGAGATTAGTGCAGCATGCATAAACCACAAGACATGTTATACATAGACTAATACAAACATATTCCATTGTCATGCAAGATAAAAACCATGCAAGAACAGTACCACTGTGATGTATAAACCACAATTGTGACCTCTCTTTACCTTTATTTACTGTAAATCAGCATGCAGACAGCAGTTAACATGCAGAATTACATGTAAATAAAGTAATTCAAGTGTTCATGTGCCTAGAAAAACAACAAAGGTGCACAGCTTATCAAAATTTCTAGGTTTTCATTAGATTTGCAACATATCAAATATGTTATAGGAAGAGAAGCTGGCAGTTAAAATAAACACCTGTGGAAAACCGTTAATTATAGTTATTATTTTGTCTCATTTCCCCCGCTCTCCCCCCCCCAATTACTGGTACAGTACAAATAAAAATTTACACAGAGACACAAGATTTGACTGTTTGACTGGATTTTCTTGCTATTGCAATGCCGTCAACATCCGCAATGCATTCCAATAACACTCCATTCAAGAATGTGAATGAGCCTCATTTAACAAAAGAGGGGCTCAAAAGAAACCTTGGTGTCCACCTGTGCCACTGTAGGCAATCAAACAGGAAACATGAGCTCAAGGACAGAAGTGACAGTGGTTTGGTTTTGAACTTCATTACCTTGCAAACCTGACCTCTGCAATATTGGCAAGGGTAACAGAAAGAAAGCAGTAGACATTACTGTCTTGCCACCATGGACTTTTGTAGTTATAAGAACAAAACAAAATAAAGACTGCACGAAAGAAGAAAAGGAAAATCCTTCACCTGACAAATGAAACAAAACTATAATGAAAAAGTCACAAAGACCCGGGAAAAAATATGATCATAGTAAGAGAGATACCACAAAGCATCAAAACCCAGCAAATTAAAAGTTTTTGGTTTTTTTATAAAGTTTCTAATTTTTCCAAGTAAAAAAACGTTAAAATACATATCATTTGACTAAGGTACTGCAACAACTCTTACATGAGTTAACACCATTTCCTACAGCATTCTCCTAGAGAACCTGGCTGCCCATGGCTCTGACTGGCATACACTTCACTGGGTAAAAAGTGGCTACATGGCTGGGCCCAAAGAGTTAAATCCAGTTGGCAGCCAGTGACAAGTGGTATTCCCCAGGGCCCAGTACTGAGGCCAGTTCTGTTTAATATCTTTACCAATGATCCAGATGAGGGGATCAAGTGCAGCCTCAGTAATTTTGCAGATGACACCAAGTTGGGTGGGAGTGTTGATATGCCTGAGGGTATGAAGGCTCTACAGAGGGACCTGGACAGGCTGGATTGATGGGCTGAGGCCAACTCCATGAGATTCAACAAGGCCAAGTGCCAGGTCCTGCACTTGAGTCACAACAACCCTAAGCAACACTACAGGCTTGGGGAAGAGTGGCTGGAAAGCTTCTTGGCAGAAAGGGACCTGGGGGTGCTGGTCAACAGCCAACTGAATATGAGCCAGCAGTGTGCCCAGGTGACCAAGAGGGCCAATGGCATCCTGGCTTGTATCAGGAATAGTGTGGCCAGCAGGACTAGGGAAGTGATCGTGCCCCTGTACTTGTGAGGCCGCACCTTGAGGTATTCAAAAGATGGGCAGATGTGGTGGACTTGGCAGCGCTGTGTTAATGGTTGGACTCAATCTTTTCTAACCTAAACGATTCTATGAATAAATATATTTTGGTGTTGACTATATATACTAATCTGATTTTGAAAATACTCACTAGTCATCAGGCAGACAGTTGTTCTTTCATATTAGCTTTATCTTGTGAAACTAAGACTAATAATAAAATTAATAATCAAACTAAAATTAACAATCAAAGTCTTATGCCTCTGCATATTCATACTCCCCAGATGCTCTGGTAGCACAGTCATTGGAAACTCCCTTGGAAAACAGTATTTACTGACAACACTTGGCTTTTCTTAGCTGAGGCTCTTGGATAACCTCTTACTCAATGGCATAGTGAGCTTTCTTCATGCTCCTCTTCTACATCTACCCTGTTGTCTAGTCAACAGATTTTTCAAGCTTCCAGACAAAAATCTCCTGAGGCTTTTCCCCCTCTTGGGAGGAGAAGACTGTACTCAGCATTCAAGTCTTTCTTTACTAAACATTTAATCTGAGCTTACTGATCCTCTAAGTTTCAGGCCAAACACCCAGATGAAACTGCCAAAGCCAGTTTTCCTTAGCTCCTTTAGTGCCTCAAAGCATCTTCTTACAACTCTTCTCAAAATAGTCTATAATTAGCCAGGTGGCCTTCTTCCCCCACTTGTACAGGCAACTTCCTTAAGTCTCCTTACATGAAGCTTCTCTCAGAGGCTCCTATATCTCTCCATTTTCTGCAAGTGGCAAATAGACAGATAAAAATAGAAGGAATGCACGGTGAGACAAGAAAGTTATCTTCTGTAATCTTACTATAAAGATCCCTAGATCCACTAGATTCAGTCTTCTCTTAGAAAGACCCAAACAGATGGTCAATAAATAGTGACAATCTAAATCCAGATTTGTTTTTACAACCGAAGATAGATCTGCAGCAATAGGAGGTAGAACTTTCCTAAAATTTGCAGAGGCATGAACTTGTCAATCAGGAATTAAGATTTCAGCTAACTCAGTTTAGTGAGCGTCAAAGTGATTACATAGCCCGAGAGCAGGGTTCAGGGGTTTATATGGGTTTTATAAAATCTCCTTTCTTGGTAGAGGCTTCTTACAAAGTACAAAAAATGATTGTGTGACTGACATAGGGACAACATGAGAAGTACTGAAAACACCATTTTTCTCCTTCTCTACATTGGGCACAGTGTCTCAACACTAAATTAGAAGGAAACCACAAGTACTAACTGTACAAAACAAATAATACTTAAAATTACATGGAGTTTTAAGAAAGTTTTAGTTTAGCACAAGAAGATATTCCTAGTGACAAATCTAGGCAGTATTTTTCCTCTAGCTATTTTTAGCTGGGAAGAGAGAAACTGAGGCATTTGGAGCGTGAACGGTATTCCTCTTAATTTTGCTTCTCACTACGAGCGTGATGAAGGTTGTACATTTCCTAGTGAGATTCCCTAAGACTGCTGCACCAGGGAAGACACTTTCAGAAATCTAAACATGCAGATGCCATTAAACCCCTTGATTTTTATTCCTATTTATTAAAAACTATATGTGAAATAAATGTATGGTCTAAACTTCAGATTAAATATGAATGTTAATTCCAAGTACCAACTCCATTCTCCATCTGATTTGCTACAGTGTCTTGAGGGCATAATGGCCTGAAGAATGATAATTCAAATATCTGAGGCTTGAGAAATCTCATTTCAGTTACTCTAAACTAATATACATTAATGAATATACATGCCATGTTCCTCTATATTTTTGTGAAAGCTAAGTTTACTAGAAATCAGTTATTCAACCATCAAGAACACATATTAAAAGCATCAAGAAAAAATGGCTATGTACAAACTAAAAAGAAAAGTTCAGCATATAAATCAGGATTTGTATTAAAAATCAGCCTCTAATGGAATCAGTTTAGATGCAGGCAGCTAGTAGCATAGTTTTGGGGTTTACTTAAAATCTTTTTGAATGCTAAGAGTCAGAACATATTCTCCATTTTGCAGCTTACAACCAAATTAACAATTTTGGATTTCAAAAAGGTGTCTTTTGGGAATTGAAGTGCCTTAATGTATCTAACTTAAGTGCAAGACAATAAGCAGTGGAATCTACCTAGGAGAATTTCTATTGGATAATACTATTGTAATTTTAAGACTTGCTGGAGTATGTCACAACAATCCATGAAATTTTTGTATAGAACAAGAACTAATAAAATTCAAGGATCTGCACAGAAGATTCTACACTCTACTTATCTCGGAATAGCCTTAACCGGTAACTTAACTGCTAAGCCTAGGTATTAGCCTTTTTATTTATTTATTTAACAGTACTTGATAGCTAAAGGTGGACATAAGTTATCCTTTGAGGACATTATTAAATGTCTAGAAATCCCTCCACTTTTCATTCTTGATTATCTTGATTAAAGGACCTTGATTATCTAAGGTCCTTTAGAAAAAGTTTGCTGAAGGTATTCTGGAACACTTGAAATTACTAAAATGAATGCTTTAAGCCTTCTGGAATAAGAGCATACAAGCAAAAAATGTTTTGTGTGAAATCTGATAGAATTCTAGCAAGATACCAGTTGCTTTTGTTGCTTACATTCCAAATGCACAAGAATTTTATTCCTTTTAAAGTGTGATGTATTGATTTCTGAACTCCACAAACTATCATAACACACTGATGGTTCAGTAGTCCATTCAAAATGAAGAAAAAAATAAAAGCTAAAATAAAGATTTAAAACTGACAACTGCTGAATGGATAGCATTGCTGTAATTTATCAGCATCAAAACATTCTTCAGGCTATGATCTTATAAACACTTAAGCACTTAATTTTATGCGCGCACAGACCCACTGAAGTTACTTTCCTTGAGATATTGAAGCAAGCTTAACTTGGAGAAAATCTGAGACTGTATCAGTTGAAATACTTTTGCATGTTAGGTATGTAGTATAAAAAAAAATCAATTAATGAAAAACTTTCAAACTTTGATTAAAACTGCAATTCTGTATCAATACTGAAACACTTGGGACTTTTTTCTTTTAATAAGGCATTATACACTGGCAACTTTGAGGGAAAAAAAATCACCTATTCTTATTTCTGAATTGGAAAATAGGAATCAAACTTTATGAGCTCTTCTCTGAAAGCTCTACAATTTTAGACAAATAGTATATAAAGTAGATAAAAAAATAGAGGACTTAATTCCAGATTAAATTAGAATTGAAAACAAACACACACCTGAAGACCTCCCAAGGGATCCACATCAAAAAAAGAAAGGACAGAGTCAGGCCAGTAAATGTTTCTGCCTACTCAGCACATAGAAATATAATAGATATTTGCAGATAACTGTTACAGATAACAAATTCCTCTACCATACAATGTGTGTCACACTGGTGTTTTTACACAGGCAGTATTTTAGTTTAAATTCCTAAATTAAAACTTCTAACAAGACTACCATGGAAGACTACTGATACATATCAGGTAGTAAAACTGGTGAATCACACTCAAAAAGGAAAATAATGCTGAAAAATATTACTGTTCTTAAAAACTCACCTGTGCACTAAATTTATGAGGTTGGGGGTGGGGTGTGCTTTCTAGCAGCTTACATAGCTAACCACTAGAGAGCAGCTTGACATTTAAATAATCTCTTTTCTCTATCCCACAATAAAACATGCTTTGCATCAGGTAAGCAAATTGTTTCTCCTGAATATATGCAAAATTTCTATTTACAAAAGGTCTCATGAAATGTTTTCATCTTCCTTCAACCAGATGGATAATTTCAGTTGGTTGGTGTATGCCCCTGACAGCCTGTCAAAGGGATTACAGATGCTGGTTACTTGGCTGGAACCCACTGTTTTTGCTGGACTTAAAACTATCCTGTATCACTCCTCATGTAAATTAAAACTCTTGAAAGGTGTTTTTTTTTTTCCTATCTGTATCAGGTAAAAAGGGCTAATAAATAAAACAAGAACTAGCTTCTCCAATTTGTCCAAGAAGCAGACACTGTTTATTTAAGTGGGTTCACCCTCCTCTCTCTCTCTCATTAGTAAATTTTATAAAACAAAATAAACAAGTACTTCATGAGCTTAGCAAAAAAGGAAAAAAACAAAACAAAACAACCAAACAAACCCACAACAAAACCAACCCCCCAAAACCCCACTATACCCTTTCCTAATAAGCACAGGATAGTAATAATAAACATGATTAAATTCAGTAACAAGCTCAGAAGAGTCACAACAGAAGTAATACTATTGACCCATACTGTTGTGTATAACCACAGCAAGAAGATATGAATTAAATAATTATCATAAGGTTTTGTATACCTGTTTTTTGTCAGTGTTGTGTCTTATGCTTTAAAAAAAAAAACCCACGCCATTTTAAAGCCATGAAAGCTTTGTCAAAGCAATTTCCAATAAATGTTCCTTAAATGAGCTCTGTAAATGAACTTGTTCCTTAAATTAGTTCTGTAATTATTGAAATTTTTTTCAGACTTCAAAACATTTTAGAAGTCTGGCTTATAGATTAAGCTCCCCTTCCTTGCCCAGCTAATTTTTAATTAGAAACAGAAATACCGAAACCATTATTTTAAAAGAAAAAAACCCAGTAAATTCCTAGAATTTCCACATTATCATATTTGCCAGCTGCCATATAGGATCATATCTACATTTTTCAGATTTTTCTTTTTAAGTCAGTCATACCCCAGTGAATATGAAGTAGACAATTATAAACACATTCACTTTTAAACCCGTAAGTAAGTCTCAGATTGCTAAATAAAAGCTACTTTAAAATGCTTCAAGGCCAGAACAAAAGAAACATGCACATACAAAACTGACTTCTAAGACCTGTCAAGTTAGATGCATGGCTAAGATCTCAATAGCAGCTATTCCATATCACTCTAGTAAGAAACAAAAATTAAGGTTTACATATAAAGTATGAGAGAAAGTACGGACAGATATAACGGGAATAAAATCAGGCGATCAATTTCATTTCGGTAAAGGTGACTACATTGCTGCAGTACCTGAACAGGTATCACTGGTGCATTAAACATTGTTCCTAACATGTCAAATATAGACGACGTAAGAACAAGCTATAAACAAACTGCATTAGCAGTGCACTGAAGTTTTGTTTCCCTCTGCATTGAGGGATTGCTGAGATTTTTGCTTCTCTGTCATTTTATGTAAGACTTGATGCATCCAGGAGAATGGAAGATCAGAGAATGCACCTTTTATCAGGGTTGGAACATGGTGAGGTTTGTGACCGCCTTGTGGGACAAAGGGTCACCACACTACAGCACAGTACTGTGAAGGCCTTAAAATATTTTATGTTGTACGTGACTCAAACTGGATTAGGAGAACAGGTGCAGCTGTTGTGCAGGCTTCTTTAAAAAAAAAAAAAAACCAAACCAAACAAAACCCATCCCTTTCTATCATCAGAAGTTATGCAACTCAAAACAACAAAAAAAAAATCAAACCCATCCATCCAAATACCTGGATTTCCAAAGAAAAATTAGTTAAAAGTATTTTTCCCAACCATCTCCAATTTTTTAGCTATCACAGATATTGAAGTATTTAGAATAATAATCACAAACCAAACTATGTTCTTTCAAAAGAAATTAAAAAAGAAAATCCATCTAGCTGGCATAATCAAAATGTATTTTGGCTGCTTCCCCTCCAAGAAAACAGAATCAGGCTAATGACATTCTACCCATTATTCACTGATGATATTTTAAACTGGTTTAGCTGGCCAGCATAGATTACACTCTTCGAGTCTCAAATTCTTTGAAGATACAGAATTGTTCAGCTCTACATATCAGCTCAAATTCTTGATAGCATTAACAGTACATAAAGAATCCTGTTCATCATCTCTAGTTATATCAAAACCTCCTGTGATTTCCTGAAATGAATAAGATTTTTAAGTGTTCTCATCTCACAGCAATAAATATTCATTCAACAATCTGTCAGATACTCAACTTCAAAAGACAACTGGCTTGGAGGCAAATACGTGTTAATTATGTCTTTTGAATTCTTCAGCAACTGAAGCTATAGATCTATACTTCCAAATAGATTTTACTGATTTTCTTTTCCTTGTTCTTAAAGACAAGATATAGAGGGAAAAAAGGCAGAACGGAAAGATGAAGTGTAAGGGAATATTTTAGTATAATACGAATACAGTGCTGCAATAAAAATTACCTGCCCTAAAAAAGCTGGCCTTGCAGTCCAGCAGGTCAATACGACATTATTTAATGTATTCTAAAATAATTGGACTAAGCTGGCAAGTATGATCAGAAGTAACAGGGACTTTTTTTTCTTTGGGGAGAAGTTAATTTACAGTCTACCATTTGACTGTTTCTCAGATATTCGTCACAACCATGTTTATCCTTTTTAAGGCAGTATCAGAAGTACATTTTCAGTGGTAATTAAAAGCAGTTCAAAACACAAAATATTTAACTTATTCCATAACCAGGTAACAGAAGGGTAGAAATGTTTTAAAATTATTATTTTTACCTTCTCTAGCTTTTTAGCCTCAATGTGTCGCAGCACCTGTTCCCTCCAGTCATGAGGGACTTTACTTTTTCCTGGAGGATCTAATAAGGAGTGCTCAGAGTTAACCCTTGGGTTTGATCTCTTTGAAGGGCTAGTCCGTGAGTAATTGAAGTCACTAACTGACATAGTTCTTTCTGGTATTTCATTCACTGATGGACGAGCACTCTGTGGTCGGGGTACATTTGGACCATCAATGCTGTATGTCCTGGCAGAAAGAGGTCTCTGTTGCCCAGACATTACTGGTGGAGCTCTTCCCATTGAATGCAAATCTCTGTATGTTAAGTAATCCCCTTCAGGAACCTGGGTCCTCCTTGAAGGTCCAGTATCCCCAACATTCACAGAAGCTGTAGAAGATACACTGCTCTGCCTTTGGAGAGTGTGTCTGGTTGCTCCTGGGAGCAGTCTATCATTTGGTGGAATAGCCCACATATCTATATGTCTCCCAGGCATCCGTTGATGAGTGTTATACACAGCACTGGCTCGGACATTGTTATGATTGGAGAAATTCATATTGGCAGAATGCTTTACGTAGCTGGGGGTTTCTGTGCTGTCAGACCTCAGCAGACGTGAAGGAGGTAAGCTGCCTTGTTCTACTTGGGTACCTTGTTTCTGGGGCCACAAGGTGTCTTTCGCTGTTGCACTGCTGCTGTACTGAATATTATATTGGGGAGCACAGAACATCTGTGCACCACTTGTCACTGATCCTCTTGCTACATTAGCACCTTCAGGATTATGATTTGAGTCAAATTTGAACACAGTTTTTGTAGAAGATACTAAATCAGATGATGACGATGACCCAGCAAAAACCTGCAAAGGCTGATCATACAGAAGAGTAGCAGATTTACTTCGGACTATGTTTTTTCCATCTGCAATATCAGATGCTGATTTTACCATTGAGTTTGGCTGTTGAGATCCATTCTCATTGACAATATCGTAGATTTTCAGAGCACCAGTGTCCATATTGGTGATGCTATGAGATTTCATCACAGGACCACTTCTTTGTGGGGACAAATCTTCAGTACTCCTCGAAACAGACAGCTCAGCAGAATCACCATCAACTGTAGTGCTTCTCGTTAGTTCATCTTTACTGGGAGACTGTATGGCTTCCTCAGGATGTCCGTTTACTTTATTTATAGGATACCTATTTCCATTTTCCAAGTGCTCACTTTCTTCTTTCGTGTTGTTATTCAAAAAGCCCTTTACTGAAACCATTTCCTGTGTTTGTATCATTTCTACAGGAACCGGCACTGCCTCTTCTCTAACCAGTTTATTGATATTCATGTTTATTTGGTCTAATTTGTGAGACTCCTCTGTAGGAGTGCTTAGATCAACACCTTTTCCTATGAGGCCTAATCTTTCTTCAATGCCTAATTCATATTCAGACAAATTTGTAACCTTCTCTTGCACAGTTGTTTTTTCTTCTACTGTAATGCTCAATCCACCTCCATTTTGCAAAATATTATTCAAATTTTCATCTTCTCGCCTAGAAAAAAAGATGGCTCTTAAAAGAAATTCCAAAAGGAACAACATATTCCTTTAAGAACTGTTTTAGAAAAAGTAATCATTAACATGCAACACAGCCATACTGTGCATACAAAACAGGACAAAGACCAATACACAACCAGATTTATGACTTGCTATCTTACCATTAAAAAAAATACATTACATAGAGGGCTCATTTTGGCAACATTTGTGTCACCTGATTTCAGAAGTTTGTTTACATTCAAGAGGAATTATTAATGGCAGTTTAAAAGTTCAAAAAGTATGAAGTGACAACAACTTAATTTTTTTTTAACTAATACCTGCAAGTTCCATGAGAATTTTTGACAAATGTCTTGTTCCTATTGGCAATTTTCTAAAAAGGCACCTTCTACTAAAACCTCAACAACAGCAGTAACCTGTAAGGCCATTCTTTGTGAGTTTCTAAAAGCCTTTTATAGTTATGTTAGTAATCAAACTGATCTTCAAAGTTACACAAATAAAAACATAGAGCTTTTAAAAGGGTGTATTGAAGTATTTTGCAGGGTTAGCGAATTATAAAGATGAAATTATTATATCCTATTATTAAAACAGATGGGAACAATGTCTTGTACACTAAAATTAGCCTCTGAATTTTACTGTCCTCTTCTTTCGTTAGACAGAACTATTCCATTAGTTAACATTATTTTAAAACATTAGAATTTTAAATTATTTCATGAATGATAAATTAATGAATTAAAGGGATGGACACATAATACAAAAGACTAAGTAACATTTTTCTATTATATTTGCTCAGTGGTATACAGTATCTTACAAACCTGATCTTGGATAAAACAGCAGCATGTGTTTCTTTGTCTGGAGAACAGAGAGAAATATCTTGGCTACTATCAGTATTTAAGGAAACAGAATCTGACATTCGAGAAGGAGAGGAACAGTTGCTGTTATTTTGATTGCTGTTGTGAGTAACTTCATCTGATAAGGAATCAGCATCTTTTGAATCATCTGAAATAAAAATTTGTCAATTTAGTTACAGACATATACATATGTTTAATATCCATTTAATGTGTGTATGTTATAGTATTTAGAAATTGTGTCTTGTTCTTCAGTAATTCTTACTTCTGGAAACTAAAATGTAAGCTAACATCTTTGCAAACTTAATTTAAACTTACAAAAGACAATCGTTCCTGTTTTTTAAATGTTTCGTTCAACATAAACAACCCTCACCTGCTAATAATGTTTAACTCACTGCTTTATTCCAAGTTTCCTTGGCATAAGCTAGTGCTACATTATGTAGTGTTTCCCCAAAATACCCATCAAATCATATTTTTGTTTTTGCAATGATTTCAAAGTTTTGAATTACATGAGTCTCTTAGCCCCTACGAAATATACTGCTTCACATGGAGGATTTTGAAAGTGTATACAGTTCCTGATTTTGAACATTAGATCATTGTTAAATAGCTATGTATTAGACCAAGCGCTCTTGAAAGACCTGTATCACTGGATAAACTCTGCATAGTTTCATAAATGTAAAAAAACAGGAAAGAAAAACGTTCTTCTGCAGAGTTGGAATCCTTTGCAAATCACTTAGGACAACATTTTTGTGTAATTTACATCTGCACACATTGATTCTTGCATAATGTATGCATACTTACATACTACATCCATATACAAATAATCTCTCTGTGGGACTTCAGGCCAGTCATGATTTTGATGGAAGTATACAAACAAATAAATACATTTAAATTTTTGATTCAAGACATAGTTACAGGTGCCAAAAGCATAAATTCTGTGAAATTAACATCTATCTCAAGAGACAAGAAATAAGTTTTGGCTTAGTATTTTAGTCAGGCATAAAAACTCCAACACAGTGTTGATAAACATCGATCTTTTCACCTGCATGTTATCCTCAGCAGACTCCTCCTGCTACCTCCATGTTGTTTTCCTTTGTCCCCACTAAGTCTCATCCTTTTATATCTAATGGCCAGAAATGGTCATTCCTTACTCTTAAGGAAATGGTTACCCAGACAGAAATTATCTTCCAGAGAATATAAAACTCAGATAATAAAAATAATGTTCTGAAGCTTCCCATTAGAGGAAAGAAGAAAAACAAGAGTAAAGTGACTCTAGAGAAAGACTTGCCACAAGAGAAGTTTATTCCTAAACCTTAGGGAGAGAGCACAGCTTCTCTAAGAAATTTAAACAAGTGATATAGCAGCAATAATCCACAAAATCTGGGGGAGGGGAGAAATACGGAATATTTCCAAAGTAAATACCACTTTCTGCAATCCTCTTCTTAAGCATATCAAGAGTGTATTCAAGCTAACACTCCCCCAAAACACACGCATCTCCTTTCTCCCTCTGCTTTTAAACTGATGACAAGAATCAAGAAAATTAGGGTGTCAACACAGCTTTCTTTACCACAGACTCATGTACAAGATAGTGCAGGATTTTTTTTCTGCTTTCACTGCTTAACTAGAGAATTGATCATCTTTCTTTTAAAACATAGAAATTATACCTACTTCTATATAATATAATTGGAAAAACTAGCCACTTTGAGTCAAGAAATTATCAGAATCACACAACACTTCTATTGCTTTTTATGGTATCTAACCTTTTTTGTTATTGCTAAGAGCTACCACTTTTGGTTGGTTAATGGAGGTCTCAATCAGCGGTGGTCGCATTTCTGCCATTTTCATCTCTTCATCAGAGGATAGTTCTTCTGACTCCTGCTAAGGAAAAACAGCTTTATGTTGTGCATTTTAAAGAGCTGCCTAAAGGTTAAGTAAACGTTATCTAAACTGTCACCCACTGAACAATAGAGAGGAAAAAACCCAACCAAGCAACATAACATAGGCACAACATAACAAATGTCTAGTGCATTTGTAGTGCAAGGCAACTGAATTTAGTAATATTTGCCACTGAATAATCTTTGAGCAGCAGCACGTGCAGACTTGCGTTGTCACTTATCATCTCCATGGGGATGACGGTCAAACCGGTAACTTCAGCTGCAAAAAACCTACGTGGAGCCAGCAGATGCAGCTTCTGTTCCACCACTGGAGTTCAGTTCAAGTCAGAAAGTTATCACTGAAGCAGCAAACACCCCAGGCTGACTAGCTGGGTATTAGTTTTGCAGAAAAGAGATCAACTGAACCAGCTATCAAGTAGCATGACCAAGATAATCTCAGGAATGGAGAGCTATGCTGTGAGAAAAGACTGAATGAGTTTGGCTTGCCTAGTCTAGCAAAAAAAGAGCAAGCGTAGCTTGGGCTTTTATCTTGAAATTTACACTGGTTGTAAATTCCAGAAGGAAGAGAAGTTATTTAACTTCAAGAACAATGGGAAAGGAATGAAGTGATACTGAATACATTTAAGCTAGAAATCACTAGCTCCTAACTGCAAGATGGAGCTCTGCACTTATGAAAGAGATTAACTGACAAAGCTGCTGCAAGAGCATCCATGCAACTGATTCAGTATCCTACTGCCAGCCCTATATTCCTATCATCTTCAAAAACCAATTGTACCCAGTAGTATTTTGAAGGGAAAAACCCCTTCCTTCCCTAAGTGGAAATTTCTTTCTAGTAAACATGCTTCCTATTACAAATGCTACAAACCCCATGTTGCAGACTGCAAAAATAGTCTGTCAACATTCACTTTTTCTTACGAATTTCAGAACACGTTATGTGTGGAAACTACTGGAGCACCACCTTTCCCACAATACTAGCTACCTGGCCAGTTCTTTGGACTGCAGGGAATACAAACCTGACAGAGATGTAGCAAACAAGCTATCACAACATTCATTAAAAATAGAAAAGTAAAAATCCATCTGTTTGTCTCTGCAATTGGAACAGACAACCTCTTCACTGCCTCTACCACATTGCCTTGCCTCTTGGCTGTGTCACACAAGTGTAATCAATGTTGAAATGAAAAACTTACACACATGCAAAGTTTAGATATTTAGATTCAACTGCAACAGAGTTACCCGCAGGTTATAACATGTAAGTAAGGAATTCACTATCCCTGATTGACTATATACTGCTGCCTCATTTACTTACTGGCATACAGCCACCTACGAAGAATTGCTATCGATATTGTTAGACAACTAATATGACTTTCTGAAATTATGTTTTTCAACTAAAGAAAAATGTCAAAACCAATATTTTCAGAAGTATGTAGAAGCAGGAACACGCTAGTGGGGAAATAGCCAGCAACAGCCACAACTGCTTGTCACAGTCTCTTCAGCAGAAGTATGAGATGCATGTTTCACTGCTTACACAACACAGGCAAAAATGATCTGCTTATGAAATTATGAAAAAAGCATTTTATAGGTGTGACTGGCAACTGATTAAGTGAGAAGTTCCAAAATTTGTCATGTCTGAAACATTATAAATAAACGAATATGTGGTGTTTGTCTGAGATGTACAAAGAGTTCAGGAGTTTAAACTCTGACTCTTTATAAAAGGTAAATACAATCCAAGTCATATTCATGACAGCTCACTAATGAACACAGAGAAATACATATCTTTAAACCCACCTTTCACTTAATTTGAAATGGAAGTGCATGGTCACTTGGATGTACAGGTTTTTGATTGCTCCCCCTAATCAGATATTTTGTCACTTCATTGACAATCAAAACCTATTATTTAATGACGACCTGGCAATCAAGCAAAACCTGGAAAATTCTGAGTCTTCCAAAGTTTGATACTCCGGTGTACTTTTAATTGAATTTGCTTTATTTTTCTTTAAATGCATTTATCTTTCATTATGAATTTTTTGTTAGCTATTTCAACTTTTACTTAGTATAATCTGAACTGAGAAAAACATTGCATTGCAAACCATCTGCATTTACGGATGGCAATTTTCTGCTATTGTCAACATAAATTTTCATCTCCCAGGGTAACAAATTCAATACAACACCAGCATAATTCTTTGACTGCAGTGATGTTCATCGCAATGCCATACCTCAAGCGTGTCTTCATGGTTGACAACTGTTTTTGTGTTCTGCAAGGTTTTAACAAACGCAGTCATCTGTGAATTTGTGGTGCTGTGCTCAGCTTCTGGTTCAGTAGGCTGTTCTTTATTGAAGCAGTTTCTGAAGTCTACAGGATTAAGAACATCAGCAGAAAAAACATTCTGAAAGGTTTTCAATAACATATGATCTTTTGAGTTAACATTATATATTTTGGGAAACTATGGAATGGAAAAATCTGAGCTTTGAAATTATAAAGTTTGAAATGCACCAGGTATGAAACACAGGGAAATCTTTGCAGACCACTGAGGTACAATCCCTACCCTTTGTCAATCAGTTTGACTCTTCTTCTTGGGGTCAATTTGTACCATTACATTTCCAGTTAAGTTAAAAAAAAAAAACAAAAAACAAACAAGCCCAGGAGTATCTACAATAAGACATGTCAGCACCAAAGAGTAGTCCTATCACTTATCATGCTACTTCAACCTGTTAAGAGACTCCTGACTCCTGTGTCAACTTGCTACAATTGCTTTCCCAACTTAGCATGTAAAAACCTCCAGTCACAAGGGCAGCTGTAAGATCCTTAAGAGATTATTTTTTTATATATATAAAAAAAAATATATATATTATAACTTCATTGTCAAGTCTGGTGGACAAAAGAAGATCAGAGGATGACAAAGATGCCATCCTACAGTAACCAAAGAAGCCAGCTCCTTAACACATTCATAGTTTCTATTTCCCTGAGAATCAAGTCACTTTCCTTGTCCTTAGTGTCAGAGGAAAACTGCTACTGCAAACCAGACATTTATTACAGACTTCTATAGATGGTAAAGAGGTAAGTTCCTGTTCTTTAATCTGTCAGTTTTTCTTGCTAAAGCATTAGTGGGGAGGGAGAAGACAAAAGGAATCAATGACAAAGATCTAGAGATCTTTGGAAGTCTCTGCAAAGTCAGAAGAGAATAGTATCTCTAACCTTTACCCCCACATCTTTTACAGAAACTGCCTGGCCTTCTCGTTTTGACTCCTTGGCAGTATCTTCAGTAGATTCCTCATCCTTTAGCCTATGTACAATCGTCTGGACTGTTTTAACCATATTCTTCAGTTCATCAGGATACGGAGTTGGATATCTCTTCAGATTGCCTTCCTGTATAACAAAAAGCAATAATATTCTACATTGAACTAAATGCCATAATTAAAACATATGCTTTAAAACAGACAATGAATTAGGACAAAACACTGAACAATCTAGGATCTTCACTTTGTTGTTCAAGTCTACATGGATTGATGCAGACTTAAGTTTGTAAAACACAGCAAGATTATGAATCTCTACCCCCTCAAGGTGTCAATTGATTGCAAGCAGAAGAAATTATGACAACTGTAATTTATTTAAAGAAAAATGAGGATTAATCATTGTTTCCCCATTGTCCTTCTCCATGGCACCACCAGACAGGTAGTCTCCTAGTTATGCCCTACTTTGCCTTACATCAGCTGAGAGTTTTGTCCCTTGTGCCCCACTTCAAATGATCTCAGGGAAAAAAAAAACAAAACACACACACATACAAAAAACCACATGAAAAAAACAACCCCCCAGAACCCCCAAACCCACAGTGTTTCATTCTGTTAGGTACTGTTAACTAATTCCCGGAGACTTGATTTCTTCATCAGAGTGAAATCCACAGCCAAAGTAAGGAAAAAGAGGGGATTCAGGGGTGGGAGTAAGAGGGACAGAAGCACCAAGTATTCAAAAACAGATTCAATACTAACCCGAGGCGGTGCCTCTCTCTCATCTTTGTCTTCATCACACTCAAATGCCACCTGAGCACGCTGTTTCCTCTGTTCCTCCCACAGAGATGGATTGAAACTTTCATTATCAGATATAAACATAACTAAATAAAAAAAAAAAAAAGGAGACTCATAAGAATAGGAAACATTATGCAAAATAAAAATCCTCCTTTTCTTTCTCTGGGATGGGATTGGTGTGCTGTTGTATGCATTCTTAAAAGACAAGAGACTATTAGCACCATTAATTGAAGACTAGCTACACTGCCACTGCTTTACGAACTTGGCTGTATTTTTGTAATAGTAATCCCTGTCTGTAAAGTAAAAAACTTCATACACACAGCTGTACACTAGTCTTAACACTCACACTTGAAAATTTTCAGCCGAACACTGCTGCAAAGTATTTTTTTCTCCATGTATCTGTATAAATGTATTTATATAAACGTAATTTAAACTTATATAGATTCATATAGCCTGACTTCAGTGAGGTGATCTCATTAAGCATGTATAAGGGCATTCACCTGATTTCATTTAATGAAAATTAAAAATAAGAATGACTTAGTGAGAAAAACCTGCATTATTACTAATCCTGAAAAAACCCTACATCTAAAACTTAAGGTAAACACATGATTTTGCAGAAGTTATACAAATTACAGGACCTTTACAAAGTATTTCTTGCTTAATTTTACACAAGAGAAAAAAAATCTTCTGGGTACCTACTGTCTCTTATTCTAGTATGTCTCCATGCCTTGCATCACGTCAGCCAGGTTCTACTTTACCATGCCAAATAGTCTAATAAATCTGCCACCACCATCCCAGCAAACATATATCCTTCACTAGCAATGCCAAGACTGTTCGTATTAACTACTTCTATACCTGAAATATATAACAGCCCTGTACTTAATTATAGGGCTCAACAAGTGCACTGGAATATTTGTTACTCTGCATCTACTGGGTAAACTTACAATTTTAACACATCTGAAAATATTCTAATAGACTTCACTATCATTGACTAAAAAAAAAAACTTGTTAAAGAATTTAAAACATTTTAATTTTTAAAAACACTATCTATTGAACTCCAACCCTTCCATTTGGAATGACCACCTCAGAGGCAGGTATTCTGTCAACTTAAGCCAAACAACCAGCCCCTTTCTTTGTCTACAGAAAGAAACCCCAGCACCTGGTTAAAAAAAAAAAAAAGTTCAAGTAGAGAGAATGCTTTCAGGAACAATCTTGAACTTCACTGAATCTCCAAATGATTTTATAATTCTCACATTCTTTCAGAGGCACTGCAGACACATTATCTGCATTAGAACGTACTAAGAGAGATGCACACTTTACTGGTTTTGCTGGTATTTTTCGTTACTCCTCTCTCAGTGTACTAGACACTTTTGCCATGGAACAGCAAACGTTGCCACTTGTCAGTTTTCAATTATTTCCATTTATACCCCACCCCACCCCCCCATTTCCGTTAAAGCAGCACAAGCTTTTTCCTTTTGCCTGCAGGAGTAAGAAAGTGAAGAAATAAAGAGATTTAACTCTCTTTCCTTAACTCCTGATGGGGTTACTCATGCAATGTTACTTATTTTCCTAACTATTTCACAAGTGTGCAAAAATAACTTTCTGGCAAGGTCTTAATATTTTGGGCCTAGCTTTTTATAGAATCATAGAATTGTCTAGGTTGGAAAAGACCTTTAATATCATCAAGTCCAACCATTAACCTACACTGCCATCCCACCACTAAACCATGTCCCTAAGCACCTCGTCTGCCCTTCTTTTAAATACCTCCAGGGATGGGGACTCGACCATCTCCCTGGGCAGCCCATTCCAGAGCTGTTATAAACCAGTTCAAACTAATTGTAAGCAAGATGCTGTTTTTCTGGATTGGTTTTTTTTTCCTTTTAAAATAAAACACAGAATGCTATTTACTTTTCCAAAAATATGTACTCTGTGATGGAAGAAACATTTTGTCTGAAATTCTGCTAAAATAATCAGTCTGAAGCAGACACCTGCTAAGGAAATTTCACCCCAACACGTTAAGCTCTGCTGAAATGAAACAGGGTGTCACACTGGGAAGTGGCAACCATCATGATCCTGCTAGTTCATTCCTCACATTGCTCACTGAAACAGTTTCACCTAGAATTTACCAATACACGTTAGTTACTGTTCTCATTCTTCAGATACTCTTCATCACTTACACGTTTACTTCAAACTTGTGTTCAAGTATTATCTAGTGAAACTTGTATTAGCTGGACAGTCTTTCCATTATTATTTTCAAAAGTGAGCATTCCCTCAGGGTATTTCAGAAATTCTTACCATCCTCGGTCCTTGGCTGCTGGGGGAACATGTAATTAGTAAGCACTGTTTTCTGTGTGTCAGGGTCAGCTTCTTTTTGAAGAGGGATAAGTGGTTTAGACTAATAAGCAAATGAAAGAAGGATATGTTAGGAGAATATATACAAAAACGTAAATACTATCTACATATCACAGAGCATGCCTGTCCCATTACTTTGAAGACTACTCTCCTTGTATTAAACCATTTCTCCTCTGAATAATTTACACAAAACGAAGATATTAACATGTCTGTCTTTGATCGACGACTGGCTTTGACGAAGAACAGAAACTCAGTAACAGCTCTAAGAGAAAAGCATATACTGGATATTCAAATAACAACCCAGTTTCTTGCTAGGAATTATTACTTTCCCAAAGGAGGCTGATCTGCAATACACGGATGTATTTGGCCATTTAAAGCTGCAGACAATCATAAAAAAAAATTTGCACTCAGTTTTTCTTATTGACACCAGATTGAATATCCCCCACCCCTTACAAAAAAGGGCAGGAGATCCTTGAAATTACTGTATTAGTAAAAGTGCTTTCATTATACTACATCCAATAGTGGATTTCTGGCAGCCCTGTACACCTTAATGCTGTTCAGGAAATCAGCATACTACAGAGGGCTTCAAGGCACAGCAAAAATACAGGCCACAAGCACTTGAGTTACTCCTGAATAGCCTGAAACTCAGACAGTCACAGAGTTCAAGGTTGTGGCAAGAAACCTAGCTCAAAAAAAGGTATGCTAAGTTTCCCCAGTGGTATAGCTGTGGAAGAAACAGCACGCTACACATTCAAGTACTAGCTTATCAAGCACTAACTCTCCTGTGTAAACAAGCCTGAATTAAGAAAAACAACCCCCCAAAAAACCAACATCTGTTAAACTGCATTTCCTAACAGTAAAGAACTTTGCTAGAAGCATGAAAGTCTCCAAAGACAGGTAGGCTCAGTGTTGTTTATTTCAGGAGAACCGACATAGTAATGTCAAAGAAGTATTGATGTATAACCAGGTCTCATTATTTAACAGATGGCTCTGTACTTGTCAATTCTATGAGGAATAAAGTCAAAAATCATCTATTTTTAATTTTAAAAAAGTTCACCTGATTGTCTGATAGCCACATAGCAGTGAGCTGCTGCAGTTTTGTAAAGGTAAATGGCAAATTCTTCAGTCTGTAAATTACAACAAGAATTTATGTAAGTGCATTTATCAATACTGTTAAGATTGTTAAGAAGCCATCCTGCATTAGCCTGTAAAAATATTTTAAAAGGACATTTCTAGATATAGGTAAATTAATAACTATTGACAGTTGAAAGGCAACAGCATTTAATTTAGATTCAAAGCTATACCTGGAATTTAAAAAAACCCCACAAAACAAAAAACAAACCCCAAGCAAACAAAGACCACATTTCAGCCCAGTTTAGCAAGCCTATAAAAAAGTGACAATATAACTGGAATGTAACTCAGTTCAGTGACTTGAATACGATTTTGAAGACAATTAACCTGAATTAAGCAACCTGAACCCTCAGCATTTTATGTTTCAATATACATGCACACCAATTAAGAAAAAAGTACTGCACCTGAAAATTGTTGTTTTTTCCATGATATCTGTGTGGGAAAGGGGCTACCTTGGATAACGGAAGTTCTGGCATTAATGGATAAATCAAGCTACAGATGGAGTACATCTGAGAGAAATGTTTTGTCAGTTTTTAAATGACCAGCTCCAATAAAACACAACTCTACTCCACCTTCCCCAGCACACTCAAGTGTTTCATCCTACACTGTGATACTGTTTTGTGTCCTCCATACACAATACAGGAAGCTACTAACTTTTACATAAGAATCAAAAATTTTATGAAATAACCAAACTAATTCTGCAGAAAAATACATGCTAACAAACATCAATGTATTGAAGCTGTGCTTCAATGTACGTGCCAAGTCATTAAAATACACAGCTTAATACAATGGAACTGCATGTTCCAGCATACAACAGTAATATATTAAACACATGCATATCAGTCAGCTTCTAAGCTGTGCATGAGATAAGGAAGATAGCATAATATATTCATAACAATACTGCATTTTATACAACTTATACTTGAATAAATGCATCCACAAACCTATTGTCACTCAGATTGATGACTTTTAATTTCTGCATATCACCCATTTCTTCAGGGAGAAATTCAAGCTTATTAGAATGCAGAAACAACACTGTTACATGCTTCCAGTTTCCAATCTGAAAAAAACCCGAAGAATTAATTCACCTTCACAACTCTAAACAGTCATATTTTTACTTTTTTAAAGCAATTAGTATTACAGCTATTTTTTCATTTAAAGTATAATTAGTACTTAAATGAAGATGCCTATTTAAATGCATAAAATATAATCTTTTCCTCCTTTCAGACTCCGAATCCTATAGCTATATTTCTACCTATGAGTAGAAATAAATTTTGTATAATTTTAATTGGGTGTAGACTGGGGTTTTCATGTTTCTTTGCAACTTTACTGAAGCACATTATTACATATTAAACCTTCATTAGTTTCAATAGACTAGCAAAGTCCTACTTCTTGATTAAAAAAATTTCAGAATTTCATTATTTGAAAACTTGTGTATTTGTATACATCCTCCTTTAAAAACATACGCAAAGAAAACCTACTCAAGAATTACCAACTTGTTATCCAAAAGTTGTACAGACTATACAGTTTAAAAAATTCATTTTATAGTTTTATAATTAAATACATACCTCTGATGGCAGCTGTGTTAAAAAGTTGTGATCTGCAGCAAATGTCCTTATATTGAAGAGCTGCCCAACAGATGAAGGCAGTGTTTCAATCTCATTGAAACTACAGTCCAGTTCTTCTACTGATATTAACCTGCAAAAAAAAAAAAATAAAAATTACTCTTCTCTACAGGTTAATTCATCCAACATTAATTGAATAATATTTAAATGAAGTTAATATCACTATTAATTAGAATCTCAAATTGAATTCAAAATAAAACTCTAAAACCCAAGGGAATTAAAATCCAATCCAATCCTTTACTAATTGCCTAAAATGTTTTTGGTTTTTGTACAGAGGTGCCAGCAACATCAAATGTTTGTGTACTACATGAAAACGTACTAGTGGCAAGGCACTGAAAATATTCAGTATGGGACAGATCATAGTCAAACAGGAGTTGAGTACAGTTTCTGAACAAGAAAAGAATTTCAAGAGTTAGAGACAATGAACCTAAGAATCTGGGAGTGAAGAAATATTTTGTAAATTCTGACAACAAAAGATAACCTACGTTAATTATAATAGCAGAAAAGAAACTGGAACAAATACCTTCATTTGTATAGCCCTTAATTCTGAACCAATTATTTTTGCTGTCATTTGCAAACTTTACATTAAATTACTGAACACCAAATTATACATTAAAAAACTTGCTGATAAACAGGTGAAAATTCTCCTTATAATATAAAGAAGATATATGCATGTGTTCAGATTAACTTTTTACAACCTTTTTGATAGTGGTTCAATCATTTGCAATATTTACGATAGCCACAGCTAGTTACTGCCGAAACCCAGTTTCAGGCAGCTGACTGCCTTTTTAAACATCTTGTTTTCTTTCACATTCAATTTTTTTTATAGATCAATGGCTGCATGAATAAGTGAGGAACATAGGTCTTTTGATATTAAATAATATGTAAAGAACATACATGCTGCAAACTAGAAGTAAGATACGAAAGTACTTGCTTTCAATTTTATTAAGACATTAACACACAGAAGAAATTAAATCAAGTAGTTGTAAAAACATTCAGAAGAGGAGCCATTATTACAGGGAAGTGTGCAGAAACGCAAGTGAACCTTTCATTCAGGTGCAATACTTACCCTCCTATGGAGTCTGGCAAATAAATTAACTGGTTTTCATCAATTTTAAGCGTTGTTACCTTCTTCAGGGAACCTGTAATAAAATGGACAAGTAAATCAAAGAGGATATTTGAGTTCATTAAGCTTAGTTTAAATTTTAAAGACTATGGGCAAGCAACCACATCTTCTGTATTCCCTGGCATGCCTATAGTGCTATATATCTAAGAAAAATAAGCAGACGAGCTCACAGAACTTGTTTGCAAGCTTACTATGTGCCAGCCATAGTGGGGGTGGGAGGGGGAGAGAAAAAAAAAAATATTATTTTTTCATCCATTTAAAAACTACTGTATAAAGTCAAGAATGCTCCAAAACAAATATAAATTTTATTATTCAGCTATGCATTACAGCTTTATCCAAAACTCGCACTTTTAATCAATTGAAACTTAGATCTAAAATTCCATTTACCTATTTTCAAGTGTTCTGTGTCTTAACTACAGGTTTTAAGAACATGAATTAACTGAAAATACAAACCAATAGACTCTGGCAGTTGCTGAATTGAATTACTGGATAACAGTAGGTCTTGCAGGCTTTCACAACCTGAAATACCTTCTTCAACTATTTCAATGTTGTTTTTTGAAACATCCAAGTAGGTCAGTTGTTTCAAAGTGCCTATGAACTAAAAGCAAGAGAAAATAATGCATTCCAGAAAGTGCAAGTTCAAAACAAAAAATCCAGCCGGTTTTACAACAAACTGTCTCTCAGGTGTCATGCTAGAGGAAAAGAGAAAACATATTTATAGCGCCGAAATACAGTTCTATACAAAATATCCAAGCTTTATGATTAAATATTTTGTGCAGATATGCACAGTTAATGTCTTTACACACACACAGACACACCACATTAATTCTGAAGATCTTTCTAAAGTCAGTCTACTGCAAATTTTATGGTTTGATCAGTTACCATAATCAAGTAACTGAAGCTTTAGAACAGACTTCAGACAGAGATAGCTAACATAAGGACTTTGCTAGGCTCCAGTAGTCGTTTAATTCTTACTTTTGTCTTGTGTAAAATTGCATCCTACTTAACCTCAAAGTATCAATCCCTAATTGTACTAACCTGAAGAAACAAGCCAAAATCTAAGCTTGTATTACCTTTACATATGCACCAAGAATAAACTTGAAGATTTGTGCACACTACTAAAATCTTCATAGAGAAGATGCAATCACTTTCACAAATACAGTTTTACTTTTACTGTGAAGTAGAAATGTTTAATACATCCACTCAACTCTTCAAGGAAGAATTAGCTGAAGTGAGGAAAGACAGCAGAGAAGACTACTGATCAGACAAGAAAGCCTAAAATCAGAAGACTGCTAGTGATTTTAAGTCCGAAAACAGATGAGCTGCTTCTCCAACTTCAAATACTCATTTACTAGTTTACTAGAAAATAAACACAGGTTCACAAGTACTGCAATAATAGGTCAGCCTGGACTCCATGTCATTCTGAGAGATGTCAGGAACCCAGGCAAAGGCAACAGAACATTTTCTCCAGAACTGGCCATGCCCCCTATATAACACAGCACCTGAACAGGCATTGCTTGCTTTACAGCTGTGGCCAGTAAAAATTCACAAAACGTACTTATCCTGTAAATCCCTGCTTGCTGTCTAACACAGATTACTCCCTTTTTTGAGGGACCAGTCAACCCTAAATTTGATCCAGGATTTGAGCTAGGATTTTTACCCCTTTCCTGAATTGGAACATAATTTTTAGATGAGAGAACTTCAATGAAAGAAAATCTGCGTACCCAATTCTTATGATCAGTGACAATTTCTAAGTAGACTAGTTAAGCATTTAAGTGGCATTTAGCCTTTTGGCTTTAAATAACATTAACATTACATAGCAAGTGTAACATATGACACCTGACAAAGCAAGTATCACTGTAAATTAAAATACTAAGTGTTTAACACAGTAGAAGGACTTACCCCTGGAATAAGTGTTAGTCTGTTACCATCCATCCAAAATTCCTTTAACCCACTCAGTTGTTCAAGTACTTCAGGCTGTAAAGGGAAGCCACTTTTTTTAAAAACTTCATACAGAAGATAGTGAAAGGCAAAACAACTTCAGTGATTCATCTATTGCAACTTTAAGCAATGTTGTCTTATAGCTGTTATATAAACTTGTTTCACTGAGTCAAAGAAAACCCAGGTAATTCACTTTTTGAAACAGAAGTATATACTAGATATACAAAAATCCTTTAAGAACCTGATCACAGCACTGAAAGTGACTTACTGTCATAAGTATCTTACATATCAGGGAAAGACCACTTCTTGGTAAACATCCATGTTGCATATGCTTTCCCATTTAAACTTCCCCCCTGAGAAAGTAACATAAGACAGGTGCTACTGCACCATAACAACTAAAATCAAGGTCAGTTAAAAGTGCAGAACTCAATTTTGTTATACTGTAAATATACAGAATTCCTGCGTAAGTCGTAGTAATTCATTTTCCAAGAGAAAATCTGAACTGAAGACTACCTTTCACACAGATCTGTATCCAAAAAAGCCATTTCAAACTGTTTTGTGCTTTTACCAAAAGTTCTTAAATGAGTAAGTTACCAGTAGTTGACTCTTACAGCTAAAAGGCTGGGAGAGATGGAGAAATCAGCCAAATGTATACCCAAACAGGTAATTTTAGCCTATACTTAGTTCCTGGCTGTTATGGCTTAACATGGGCCTGGGCACATTAGTTTAGGGCTCCCACATGAATATCTACCCCATAATGAGAATATGGCAGTAATGGTAATGGTGAGAGGTGTAATAATGCTAATGAACAATTCCTTAAATACACTTCCCTATCTGCTAAACCATACAACTAGGCAAGTGATCAGTTCTGCATGATCTACCGGTGGCACACAAAGGCTTGACTTTACTATATGGCAAGTCAGTATGCTCCACTATACTTCTATTTCAATTCCTTTATCCAGGAAAGTACTTGTAGAAGCAGAGAGATGTTAAGTGATTAAGTATAAGAAGTATCTGTCTGTAATACCATGAACGGAAAACAAATCGATGCATGCTGAAGGAAAAATCTGAGCACCTCAGCTGTAAATACTATTTTGAACAATATTCAAGCTTAAAATTAATATAGTTTCCCTTGGATCTAAACAATTTGTACATAATAATAAAAGCAGGTTATGCACAGTTTATACAGAACCTGCAACCTTAAATACATGATAACCAGTAAGTGTCTAGAACTTATTATAAGCCAAACAATAATGTTTATAATTCAAACACATATTGCCATTAATTTTTTACAATTACAGTAACCATACTATACCACAGACTTATTTTCAAACTGAGGAAAAACATACTCATATTCAGAGTATGCACATAATTTTTACAACAGGCTCCATAAAGTAGTATGAGGTGTGCATAATATTTGCTCAGTAGCAGAACTCTTAGGCTGATGTTTACATTTTCATATTGATTAAAAAAATGTTAAAGAATAAATATTTATAAAAAGATACAAAGCTCCATTACTAAGGCAAAACTCACCACTTCTGTGAATTCATTACTTCCCAAGTCCAGTCTCTCCAGCTGAGTCAGTCTGGACATGGTTCTGCACAGGACGGGGATTAATAAGGAATTAGATTTAAGAAAATACCACTTACACCCAGTCTTCCTGTATTGATACAAATGTATTAGTTTAATCAGTAGTAAGTAGTGATGCTGTTCTGTAACTGGACTGGTATCTAAATAAGGTCAAAATTTCACACACTATTCAACCAGGCACATATTAATGATCATGCCAACTGTAAACTGTTACACAAAGACTACGCTGCAACTCATCTCAGATTAGTTCACAAAAACTAAAGACCACTAGAGTAATCTTTATGATAGTAATTCAGTGAAGTTATTCTTCTTTTGAGTGCTTCAGCTTTTCACCTACAGTCACAGTAAGTCTTCACAGCAGCCAAAGGCTGGTTAACTACACATTTTCCTCCCAAAGACCACCGCCTAACAATCAGCTATAAACCAGAAAAGACCACTGTTGAGTCACGGTAACCACCACCACCTTTCTCCGTCTCCAGGCTGCTGACAAAGTTGCCTCCATATGATATGGTCTTGAATCCATTAGAATTACTTGAATCCAAATCAGATTACTAAATTGGATTTTGACAGATAAATACTCTTTAAGCCAACTTCTGGCAAAGATTAAATCAATGACTAAAATAAAGTAAAATCTATTATTTCAAGCTGTGTTTCGGCAAAATTCTTCCTCCATTTGAAGTTTACTTTGGGAACCCCACAGAGATTATCTACCACTGCACATGGTGGTCTACATGATCAGTACTCCAGTCAACAGCAGTACAACTAAAAATAATTTCAAAGGGGTTGTGAATTTCTCCTATGACACAGTGTTCTACATTTATTTAATAAAAGATTTCCATAGAACAATTACTAGTATCTAAAACTTTCAAATATAAACTTTAAGTGTGTACTATAAAATTCTGGAAAAACTAAATAAGAGCTTCTAAATGGTAGAGTCTTTTATATTATCAGAATATATCTATGAATGCTAATATCTTTAAAAAACATCTGCAGGAGCACAGGATGCTCTAGACAGCTATTCAAAGTTTTGGTTTTTCTTCAAATACACAAAGTATTACAGTTGTTCTAAATATACAGTTAAAAAAGTACGTTCTATTGGAAAATGCCTTATTTATTGAAAGTTAATGGGATTATTAGTATTATTCATTACATAATCTCCAAAAAGGATTACACTCAACATTTGCATATAGATTTCATTTTTATTACAACATAGTAATTATGTTGGGGACAAAAGACAAATTTAGCACAAGTAGGTAAAGACATTACAAAGACAAAAGCAGAAACCATTTTTTGCCCTGCACACATAGCATACACCAGCTTTAGGGGAAAGCCTTTAACTGACATTCCCATTGTCTCAAAGAAGAAGAAGAAAAAATATATGAAAAAGCTACTTCCAGAAGAAACATTTTCCCTCATTTCTCAAAGCTCATGAACTGGATGATTATCAGTAAGTCAACTGATAGAATTCGTTTTCCAATTTAACATAAATTATTTAAGTCCCTCTGAAACACTGTGTAACCTAAATTTCTCAAAGCTTTATGAGACCACGCCAATACCAATTTTAGTGCCATATGTTCCTAACAATTTTGCCCCAATGCATCTCCCAGAAGCACAGCTGAAGACTCACTTAAAGGATCTAGCATGTCATTCCACAGCTTTCAAAACTTCACGGGCATCATCATACTGTACTTTTACATCAATTTAAAAAGGTTTTCAATTTCTTCTGTTTCGAAGCTATGTTAGCTAGACTGTGGGCTACTAGAGAGAGCAGTCCAAAACTTCACTGATTATCTAAATTTCAGCCTCAAAAAGTAGATTATGGGACATTCACAACTAAGAGAGATTGAATTTGATACATTATTTTCTTTAAATTACTATTTGGGGGAGAAAAAAAGAGGCTTATTTTATAGAGCTTTCATTTCAACAGTTTAAGACAGTGCCTTGATTTTTATTTTAACTGAATTTTCAGCTTAGAAATAAATAGACATTTTTAAAGTGAGGAAAAAAACCAGGCAACAACAAAATGAAAAAAGTTCCATCTGATTTCAGGGAATTTTGATGAGGCTGAATTGAAACAAAGTCAGGCAGGGTTTTTTACTGCAGCTTGAGATGAATGGAATTTTTTTCTTTCAGTTCAGCATGAACTCTTCTCTTCTTATTTTAATAGCTTGATAAAGATACACACACACACACACACACAAAATCCCCTCTCAATCTCCCAAGCCAACACACTCCAAGGTCTAAGTGATTGTTTTTCCTTCCTCCTGTACCCCATTCAACTCAGACGCCAGATTCACTTCAGCCTACTTCAAGTAGCATACAAGTAGCATACAATTCAAGAGGTGTGTGTGATAGCAAGATCAGGCCCTGAATCGTCGTAATTACACTCTCAAATAACTTGCTTCTCTCTAAAAAAATTACTCTTTTTATTGACAATTAGGCAACAAAAGCTTAAAAAAAATAAAAAAAAAATCTTTTTAGATTTCTATTGGGCCATTTTTCCACCTTTCAGCTACCTATCATATAAATGCCTCTAAAATAGTCTCTGTATATTTGTGCTTTCCTTTCAGGAGAAATATTTTCACTGAGCTGGTTTGCATTATAATACTGCCAGTTTTGCAGTCTCTGGCTGTGGATAAGCTCCAAGCAAAATGATGCGTTTGGCACAAAGCAAGGTTGATTTAGTGTGCTGGCATTAATTACCCATTTTGATTAACAGTCTTTCAAGTACTTCATGCTTCAGTGTTAAAAACTACGTGCATGTTTAATTCAGCAAAAGGGCTAGCTGATTTTGTAGACATTTATCGAAATATTTTCTCATTTCAAATATGAAACAATTCACTCTAAGTATGAAAATATTAAAAAGGTGAGAGTGACAGGGAAACAAGAAAAGGCAGTTGCATTCTATAGCAAAAATATTAGTAAGCATTGCTACATCTTACTAGCTTCAAAAAAAAAGCTTTTGGATTTTCTATGCTGTTTAAAGCTGTATAGAGCGTTACTTTTAAAACACATACTGGGTTTGGAAAACTGGAAGTTTGAATTTCAGTTCAGCTTCTGTTCTAATGTAATAGTAAAAGCCAGGCCATGAATGCCTTTGTTGGCCAGGTCAACTGCTGCACGGTTGTATTATCCTGAGAGGCAGATTCACCTCTTGCACACTATGGACATCACACTGAATTTTCTCTCCCCAGTGTATATACATAAACAATGTATGTTTCTGGTGCTTCACTGTAGCAAAATACGTATTAATGTCATTAAATTATATATTTAAAAAAAAGCAGTCTGAACAGCTTTAATCTCCCTTAGTTGAGCCACAAGAGTACCAGAAGAGAACAATAAAGGTGGCATCTCAAGATGTACTGTAGATCATTATGGAAGTGCTGCAGAGGACATCTTCATGACAGCTGCTATTTAGTTTTCCAGCAAGGATGAAACCCTGAAAACACTGAAGTCAACAAAAAAATACCCAGCAACTTCAACAGAAGTTGTGTTTGGCTTGAATACACTACAGCATTTATTTAAATCTCTCTTATCACTACATGAGACCTCTGTAAACTACTGTTTTTAAAATATCACAAGTAATTCATACTATTAGTGTTAATTATGGCAATTAATGTCAAGAGTCATTTTATAAACAAAATCTATATCAGCTATGCGTTTTAATTATGGCTACTGTTCCTCAGTTGAGAATAACTTAATTTACAGAGCTACTACCCCAAATTACATGTCCTCTGATTCTTTTCTGCTGAAAATTAGTGACAGCAGAAAAAACAGAGGAGGATAGAATGAGTAGAACGCTTCACACTTGGAAGATTTAAATTCTTTCTGATCCTGTACATTTCATTCTAAATATGACACCAGACACCACAGTACAGTATCTAGGCAAACAAAAAGGGAATTCCAATGCAACATACCCCTTGGTCATGTCTTAGGCATATAATTAACTATAGTCACTAAGAAAACCGGCTGTTTTATTTGAAGGTCTGGCAATTCATGCTTCAGCCTACTGCATGCAAGTCTCTGCTAGAATATGAACTAGACAGAGTGAATATTCACTTGTTAGCTCCTACTCTTCTCCACCAGAACATTCTGTATCCACCAAAACCAGCAGCTCTCTTTACCAGCTTCTGTTGCCAGAGCAAGACCCCTTTTACAGCACACCACAACACACTGAGGACTCTACAAGTAGTTATTCACACCCCATCTTGGGGATCTCTGTTTCTCTCTTTATTGGCCTTTTATACCTCTGTTAACCCACTTTGACCTCCATGGTCCAAGTCATAAAATTCAGAGCATTATTCTAGCTCATAGAAACATCAGGAACTGCAACACCATCAGCCTGGGCTTGTTTGATGAAATGGGTGAGAATTGCAAGGCAGGGTTTAGAAAGATGCTACATTTTGAGAGGTACAATTGGATTTACTGTTAAAACTAATGCTGTAAGAACTTCCAGAACTATTTTACTATGACTGAAAACACACCTGAGGAATATGCTGCCACTACGTTAAACAAGCCTGGCGTATTATAGAATAGGTACAGCATAACAGATTCCACGCAACAGTGATGTGTCGTCACTTACTTCAGCCCTGAAGTAAGTGCAACTAAAAAAAGTGTTCAAGTCATGTAAATCGCATTCCCTCAGTCATTCTGAGCAATCATCTTAAATTCCACATTTGATTTAGAGATAATGATCTTAATTACCAATGCCCAGATCTCAGACACTCAGCCATCAGAACTGCACCCAGACAGGCATCTGGGCACCCATACAATACTGCATGCAAGAAGCATCAGACATCTTGGAACAATCATCCTGAGGTGCCCACATGCTGACTTAAAAGCTCAATAGGTAGATCAGAAATCCACAGAGCTGGACAGTGGAAAAAAAAAATCTCTGAATAGGCAGACCACTCAGTCTGAAGTGAGATATAATTTCAGCAGTATGAAGGGAAAGTTCCTTGTGAGAACTTAGTCCAATTCCTTAGCTACCCATTTTAAGCTGTGATCTACTTTTCGATATGCACTACTTTATTTGTACAACTACAGAAAAACCCATCCAAACTAGTTCAAATAAATGGCATCCATACTTACTTTGGCAATATTTTTAACTGGTTTTCTCTAAGTTCCAATATCTGGAGTTTAGTTAATCTGTAACAGAAAGGCATACCAAATTATCACAACATACTGTATTTTATGACAAAAGCAATCTCTGAGCTCATTTATATTGCTGAAATGCAAAAAAAAGATAGACAAGTTTGAAGTATTTTTTCTGTAAGAATCAAAACATGTTTTGTGTATAAATCTGCATGTTATTTTAAATTCATTTAGTCATTGGGATTTGGTTTTGGTAGAGCAGAAAAAAAACCTAGACCTTGTCTGATTTTCTGCACCTTTTTGAACACATTTTTATTCCTTCATCCCAGAGATTTTAAAGCACTTTATTGAATTCATTATGGGTACATGTTATCATCATACACAGAAAGTAATAGAAGAAAGGTAGGATCAGTCTGCACAAGTTAAGATGCTGAATTTCTAATACTGGCAATGTATCAAACCATTTCACGTAACAAGCGTCACAGAGGAATACCTGTGGTCTTCCACATGGTAAAAGCAACCTTTAACTTAATCTTGGATTTTCTTCCATATTCTCTTTCTAGTCAGCTTCTTAATCCATTTTGATATTTCTGTTAGAAGGCAGTTTGACTTTTCTTTCAGTAAATCCTTGGTTGCAAGATAAGTAACCTCTAAATCCGAAACTCGGCCGCTTGGCCAAGATAAGTTCAAAGCAGTCTGACATTCAAGCAATGTACCATCCCCAGTGGAATTGTTTGCATCAGGACAGCAGTGACAAAACTATCTCTTTGTTGAATGAAATGCAGAAACTGAGTTTGGTTTAAATACAGGCGGGATTGTAAAGACAAGAGTTCTACATGTGAGCCACTAACGGCCCTCATATAACATAAAATAGGGCATTAAGCTCCCTGACTCAAAATGGAGCTTAGCAAACAGACCAGTCTTTCCTGAAGGTGCTTAAGTGAGTACATTGTAAGGACAGAGACACAAATCTTAATTTTGATTAAGTAGTAAGAACTATATTTAAAGTAAAAATAGAAAGCTGAAAACAATATTTCTTTTTCCTCCAGACATTCACTCATTTTTGAATGCATTTGAAAGTAGCAATCTGCTATGCCTAAGAATAACTTAAGAATGTAACAGTGACCTTGAAACAGAGCAGAAGTCAATGTAGCCCAGCACTGCAAGCAGTATTTGCCATCTGGTAGCAACCACTGGAGGGGAACCTCCTCCCCCCAACCTCTGAAATTAAAACCAACAGTCTAACAGTGCTGAAAGAATACCCTAATAAAAATCCAGTTCCTCATAATACCACCACTGCCAATATCAGACATCACTGGAAAGGACTTCCCAGCTTTCTTACCCTACCTGCATCCTAAGATACCAATTTGTAACAAAGGAGAATCGGTTTGTTTAAGCACTCTTAGATTTGAATGGTCATTTTGGGCTTGGACTTGTGAATCCAAGAACAACCAACGCAGCATTAGGCTCCAGCTGGTGTTTTGCATTGATGACAGGGAAAATAGCTACGCAGTTTGTAGGGTTTCTTCACAACGCAAGTATGCAGTCAAATTTCTCAGTTGAAAGCAGCAGAAGCAAACCTCCATTCTTATGCTAAACTATATATATGCATGCCAAGACTTTGTTCATTTTAGCCAGAACTGACTATACTACTCTTCTAATAAGCTAATTCTCTGAACTTAAAGACCTCCTTTGGTGATAGAAAGGTTCATAGCTTTGTGACTTTGTTTCACATTCTACTCTTTCTTCAGCTAACCCTAAGAAACTGGAGATAAAAGTATCAAATTTCTTATGGGTAGAGCTACACAGAGGCTACTAGGGAAACATTTTCCACCTTTCCTGGCTGGGAGATAGATGTAAGCTGTGCCTAAACTTGTCATGCAGTTGTCACTTTTTCCATTATGACTGGAAGGGTAAATTCAAGTTCAGTGTAATACACATCAAATACTCAGCCTAGCTGCTCTTTAAATTGCTGGTGTAGACTCCCATTTTAAGCATCTGAATTGTTATAGTGGAACTGAAAACTCAGGGTTTAGCATGGAAAAGAAATACAGATAGAGAACTAGTCCACCCATACCAAAGGAAAAAAAGAAGTCATAGTGGCAGAATATATATTTCCTGTGCCATTCTATCACAAAGACTTGTCATATTCATACGGAAATATTTCATTTCTCAACCGTGAAAACCCATAGCCACAGAAATATTTACACATCACCTAAACACAAAGCTGTAACAGAGTATTATTCTACTTTAAGTATACCTGGTGTAATGGTCTCAACAAAATTACTGTTGTACTATTGTTATTTAATGTAGCCATCTTAGCCTGCTTTTAAAAGTAGCTCAACTTTTAAATAAAAAAAAATAAATCTCTACATGAACACCTTGCCAGGATAAGACCAATAACTGATATTCTTCCTAACTCTGAGTTCTTTAACTATACAATCTGTAAAAAATATAAAAGAAATATAGCAGGTATACTTAGAAACTCACTGTTCAACAGCAGTCATTCCTTCGAAAGCTAGAACTATTTCATAGAGAGATGTTTGTCAATTTTCACCTCCTTTCCAGTTTTGCTGATGCAGAATATTTTTTTAAAATTGTAACTAAAATATAAAACCAAGAGGACTGAAATATATGTATCCTATAGCAGGTTGAATTTGCAAAAGTTCCAGCCAAATTGCATATATGTAACTAAATTAAGCCCCCAATTTGATTATCACTGTACATTTACCTAAAAAATTATCCCAAAATAGATACTACCAAAAATATCTAATACTGCAAATACTGGCAAATTGTTGAGAAAGAAGATTAAAAGTAAATTAATTGCAACATCACAGTAAAAAGTCTCTGGAAGAAATACCCCATTATAGACAACATTCTCAGAGTTTTTAGAATGACATTGAAGATAAACTCCTTGCTTATCTTAAACACCCATCAGTAAATAATGTTTCCCTTTTGAAGCCCTGCCTCAAAATTAGCATGAAGTGAGCTTCAAGTTTAGAATGCTCTGCTTATATATTTGTATATTTATATGTAAATATACATGATGTATTCAAATAAAACAAATATGGTTTTCTTCAGTAAGCATAAGCAATTCTCAGATTTCTGTGCACTGGCACAAAGGCTAACTCTGGGATCCATGCCAATATTAATGCATTCAAATTAGAGTTTGGGAGTGTAGGGGAAAAAACAAAACAAAACAAAACACTTCATCACCTCAGAATTCCAAAGGAACTGGCATATTTAATCAAAAGTCTGGTGATTTTTAATAAGACTAACAGGTTGGACCAGTACAACATGACCGAACGACAGTAAGTATGTAATGCTCATAAAGCAGGGGGAAAAAAAGATTGGATACTCTTGATCTCAAGAGTACGCAAGGCTTTAGTACAAATTTTGAAGGTGAGAATAAAGCATGGAGGTAAGTGTAATGAAGCACTGCACAGATATACTAAAATTAGTTTGCATTACACAAAGTTCTCTTTCCTAAGCATCGGGATGAAAGCTAGCGATAGAGGTGCTCAAAGACCCATTTTGGGACTATCCTGTTCAATACTTTTTAACAGCAACCTTAAAGGACAGGAAAAATGTTTAGGTTGGCTTATGCCACAAAAGACAGTCACAGACAATACGGCAAATTAGTAGGACACTACAAGGGGAAAAAACCTGTACAACCTTAAGGACTGAAAAAAATAGAAAAGGGACAAGAGGTCACAGCACCAAGTGAAGCACTCATGATTTCTGCATAGAGTTCTCAGCCATTTCTAACTGAGCTGTCCAATGCATTAGTCAATCATGTGGGAAACAACACTAGGCAGCTGAAAAAAGGGCTAGTGGAACACCAGAGCATAGCCACAGACATTTCCAAGAGAAACAAGAAGATAATCATGACATTGTACAAGCCATGAAGAGATCTCAATTTGAATTCTAAATATAGCTATATATGTCGTCATCCTCTGTCAAAAAGATTATGATGAATTCAAACTGAAACTCATTCCAAGATATATTTATATAATCAGGCACAAAGGGAAACCTGCCATAGCAGAGGGAAACAGAATTTTGTTTATAGTTTCACAAAGTAAAAGAGGGATATGAGAACACCATGAAAACAGCAGGTGAGAGAATGGGGGATAACACTCATGAGAGATGACAGCAATTAAACTGTGGAACAAATGAACATGAACAGCCAGAGAGAAACTGAGGTGGGAAACCAGGCTTCTAAGCTGAACTGCTGGAACCAAGACCCTGAAACATGGAACATAAAAACTTTGCTAGGTTTAATATGGCACTGGTATGTTTTTAAAAGGTATTATTGCCTACAGTTGCCAGTAAAAGCAGGCAACAGAACTCAGTTACTTCATGTGTTACCATGTAACGAAAAGTAATCACTATGAGGCCATATACAAAACAATTAATGCAGCAAATTGGAAGAAGCTAAAGGCTTGTCCTTTATGGGAATAACCAACAATGCTCTAAATATCCCAAAAGCTTCTACCAGAGCTTTTTTATTTCATTGTACAGTTGTTGTTGGGTTTTTTTAAAGTATTCCCACATTATTTAGTACAAGCTAAAAGACCATTTGCCCTAGCAAGTGTTTGTACATGTTGCAAAGTTGTGGTGTGGCAGAGCAGTTTGATCACTTACTGAATCACTCAATGTCAAAAGGGTCTGAACCTTACTTTGAAATGTCATTTTACCAATTCATTGTTCTCTAATTTATTTGACCTAAACATTATCTTCCTATAGAATAGTATTTATTCTCTGCAATACCATTATTAGCAAGTAAACTTATATAAATACTTTGAATTCATTCAAAAAGAGCTGATGAGAAAAGTCTTAATTTCAGTTTCATTCTCGTAGCTACAAGCTATGATGCTGCAAGTCGCTATTTATATTTTGAAAAACCAAGGCTGAATTCTTCACAGTGATTAAGAGAAACACTACACTGGAGAACTGGCTTTCAAGTTGCCTTCAGTAACTGATTTATTCTTAAACTATTAGTATTTAATGAGTTCACCATTTCCCTAACCATTAAGCATTACAGAAGCAGTGACGAAATAAAAATTATAATGAAGCTTTTTTTAAACTATGTGTAAGATCTGACTACCTATAAGACTAATTGTGTCAACCTGAAGTCTTCAATTTCACCTGCAGTGCCTGGTTTTTACTAAGAAAATTTTGCCATTTGGTTAGACTATTAAAAGACAGAACAGAAAAATTTACAGGCAATCATTAAAATGCAGGTAAAGACTATGCATCTTCCAGATATTTCTTCTTCAACCTTAATGAAGGCTTTTGAAATGCAAACTTTGTGTACTAGAAACAAACACGATAATGACTGCTCCTGCACCATAAGCAGCTTTTTTGTTAGCTGAGTGTGTAACAGATCTGGTGCTTATAATTGTTGATCAGGGAATGACTAATAACTAGACAGAGAAGAATAGGCCAACAACTCCAATCACAGATGACTTAATAAACTAATAGTCACTAATGGACTGCACCTGTGCTCATCTTTCATTGTACATCTCCTGATCTGCCAAACTTCTGCAGCACTCTATTTGGGGACTTTTCTAACCTCTTGTAAACTGTGTGGACCCAACTATAACCATACAGCCTAAGGCAATGGCTTTCACACAGCAATATGCCTCGTTAACTAATAGCCGTATTTCCTGAAGAGCGGCTTGCTGGACATGGCACTGGGTAGGAGAGTGACAATCTAGGAAAAGAGAGCATAAAATAAGGGGGGTGGAGGGAAACAGAAATGGCTATATCACCATGATAAGGAGAACAGGATGAACTATGCTCATCTAGGAGTCTTCCTTTTAACAGTACTGTCCTTTCACTTTTGCTCCCAAGATCTAATCCATTTTAGAGAGGTAGGGGTTTAGTACGTGCCTTGTACTTAACCTATTACAAAGAACAATTTTGCTTAGCCAGCATACTGTAAACATGCTAAGTCTTTCAGAAAGATTCCTGACAACAAGGCACTTGAGAACTATAGATGTGCATGAAAGAATCTGTGCATCCAGGAGAGAACAAGTGGAATTACAGATGTCATTATTTACTTCACTCCAATTACTAAATGACAAACAACCTGTATTTCAGCAATATTAGTCTCCCATATTTACCAGACAATGCTGTAGAAGAAGCAAGTATGTAAATTAGTTTAATTTCTTGGCTCTTTATGAGCAGTCTGCCAGTCCTTCAGAAGCCCAATTAAAGATAGTGATAAAGATTCAGGATTTTTCTCTGTAACTAATGGATTGGTAACATACACTTCTTTCCGTCCTCCAGTTCACACTGCTCGAGAAGTAGCAGAAACTGCTGTGCATAAATTTAAAACTAAATGTAGTATTAAATTCCAAATTCAACTTACCTGCCAAAATTGGCTGGCAAAAACTCAAGAAAAGCATCATTCAGGTACAGCTGCGTTAGGTTTAACAGTTGGGAAAATCCATCTGGAAGCCTACATACAATAAATAAAGTAGGGCATCAAGTCATATTTTCTTAAACAACAGTGTAGCACTGAAGTCCTACATACTGAAAACTTTAAAATTAAGGTGGTACCAGAAGTTCTACAAAATTGCACTAGATACTTGTTCCCTCTAAGATTAGTTTCAAAATCAGTTTTAAGTATTGAGGACAATATCTACAAGCAATAAAAACTACAAACAACAAATGTAGTCTTGCTATGTACTTGTGATCTCCTGACACCTAATGTGGAAGAGGCATTCATTAGAAACAGCAAGATAAATTAAAACCTATGCAACACTTTTTTCCCCACAACAGTTATGTTGCACAAAGTTTATATGTCTGGCACTGCTACTTCTGACAAATTAATTTTGTCATTATTGAAGGTGACATAGAAATCTGCTCATTTAAGCTAAGTCTGAAAAACAGTGGTACAGGCTTTAGAGTAAAATTAATTATTCTATTAAGAAAGAAAACTCTTTGCATATTTCTCTACATTCACGGAGAAGTGATGGACTTAAAGCTGAGAAAGGTGTGGTATAATGCAGGATTGCCCACACAGTCTATTAACTTGGGCAAAATACTTCCATGACATAGCTACACTGTATCACAGAGAAATGAGGTTAATGAAGATACTTCCCAGGGAACTATGCTCCTTGCCTCCAAGGGCTGGCACATGTCTGGGGCAAGTTTGAGACTCAGCGGTATTTGCACAAAACAGAAAACATCAAAAAAATTACAAACTTACTTTGAAATTGGATTTACGCTGGCCTCAACAACTGTCAGGACTTTACAGTTTTTTATATTTTCTGGAAACTCCTGTATGCCTGCAAGATACAGGGAGAAGGAGGAAAACAGTGTTAAACAATTAGACTCCATCACAGGCATAAAAATGATGCACATAAAACCACTAGCCATAAAAACTTTAATTCATGTAGCAACCAGTGGACTGGTTCTCGGATATTTCATTTTAGGTACAGCTTTCATTTAAGAAATACTCTTAAGCAATATAAATTCTTTTACTATTCTGTTCCCAAAGCATTTCACATTGCAGCTTAGCAGGCAGCTCACCAAGCAGCATTACAGAGACACAGTACACTAACAATTCGCACTCTTCATTCCTAAATACTAAAGTACTAGTACTTTGTAACGTACTTAAGATCAGGCCCTCAGTACCAATATTATTTATTTATTAAAAAAAAAAAAAAAAAAAAAAAAAAAAGCATTCATACACACGGCAGAACAAAGTTTCCAACAGGATTTGTTTGTCAAATGCATGGCTTGTGTAACATCCAGGTGAAATGCTAAGGCTTCAAATCTTACAGTATGTTTTTACAGTGTTCATGGTTCTGAATAGATATCCTAAAATGTGACATATGCTTTCGCTTAGCTTCAGATTATTTGTAGAGAAGGACAAAACCACTGTGGACACAATTGCATGTGTGAAAATTAAAACAATAAGGAACCTCTTTTTCCAAGGTTATCCCCAGAAATGCCAGAGTGAATTTGCAATCCATGTACCTGCCAGATTTGTAATTGTCAAAACCTGACAAAACAGGCCTTGAAAACAGAAGACAGACATCCATATATCAGTAGATAATCAGCACTGAAACATTCTACTGACCAAGACTTTCACCTCAATCTTTACTATACCATAAAACCAAATAAAACTATGGTTATCACAGCTTTTGCAGTGTATCACTACATCGTTCTTATACTATGGGACAAGTGGTTTTATTTTAAATGAACTTGTCCTAAGTGTAACAAGCATTCATACTGCAATCCCTCCACTTGGATTAAGAATACACTATTTTCTTCAAAACCCATACACTCGTAAAATAAAGTTAGTTTAAAACAACTGGTTGTTTTTTTTTCAGGTAACAAATCTTAGCTTTGTCTTTCAATTAATGCATGTAATTATGTCTGCTTCTAGAGTGTTTTATCAGGGGTGTGGAGAGGGCAGCCTGAACCCAGGGAACGAGACCACCAAGAAGGAACCATACTCTGTGGATGCTTGCTTTCAGGCTAGCGAGAATGAAATTTCATGCTGCTCCATGCAACATTAACTCTCTTACAGTCCAGCTGCAGAAAGACTAGAGCAGCGTGTCTTCCCATTCAGATTGGCACGTGGGACTTGGATATATCTCTCTATGTATCTTGAGAATACCAAAGGATTAAAAAAACATGGCAAAGCATCAACTGTTAAGTAATGTTTTTACTTACATAAGAAATTACACAATTTGTGATGCTAGCTTAGACTTCGTTTCTTTCTATGTTTGTGCAGTAACAAAATTGGCCTGGTATATTAGGACTTAAGAGATGGCAATACGACCTGGCAAGAAAAGTAGCCACATAACATACTCTCACATTAAGTCAATTTTTGATGTTGAGGGGCAAATTCACCACGTTGACTTTTCCATAAATTCAACTTAAGTAGAAACACCATTTCTGTCAAGGTAGACTGTTAGGTCTTTCTTGACAGGAACCTGTCATACTAAATGTTTGAAGTTACTACTTTTGACTCATACCAGCTGTTGTACTGTTATTGAGAGGTGAATGACAAGAAAAGTACACTAAGCTACAGAGTTAATCCAGGTGTTTAAATACCTCTAAGTATCATGGATCCTTTTGGGAAACAGCTCATTGAACTTGAGAACAATAAAATATAAAAGCAGAGAGGACAAGGAGGAATTGAACTATCTACTGTAATATATGCAAAGATTTCTGACACTTCTGATTTACTACCATGTGTGTTCATTTATATGTACACATGTGTAAATAAAAATATAACTTTATATATATGGCTTCAGCCATATGAAGTTTACTGGGGCTGCGAGTGGAGTCAAAGCAGAAGACAATGACAGGGGATACCAATTCAATTCACTTTATCGCTCTCGCAGTTCAAAATCAAAACTGAAAAGGTAACACTTATAATGTAATAAAGCTTCATTTCTGGAAACCAGCAGGGATATTTTTAAGTCCAAACATAGGTTTAAAGAAATATTAGAAAACTACCATAGAAAGACTAGAAATGCATCTTACCTACTGCTGTCATATAATCTTTGTATTAAGAGAAACACATTTCCAAGAAATTTAAATATATATGATCTTAATTCCGGTTGTAGCAAGAAGCCTCTTTCACCAAACAAGAATATCCAAACATACAGATGGAAAGCATCTTACATAACACAGTATCCTGAGCCATGGCAGATGAACAAAAATCTAGCACGCAAGAGGCCTGTACTGATGAAGTTATAGATGATTTGTATGAAGTGGTCTTCTATTGTCTAAAAAGTATATCAAGACTTCTTTATGCTGATGATACAACTTTGCCTTCTTAAAATAAGTGTCTACATTAACCAGAGTAAACCACTGCTGAGCTCTTCCTTGGAGGCTGAATTGTGTTTTAGACTCACTCTGTGCCATTAGTTTTGCTGTCTGAATCACACAGAGAGTCTCTAAGCTTAGTTTTTCTGAAAGATGGTCACACTACTGGCCTTGGCTTGGTCCTCGGATGATAGATTGCTCTGGTCCAACATGTTAAACTTCATGGTTTTAATATTAATATTAAGTTTCCACTGCCTGTGTCAAGAATTCAATGAAGCAGAGAAGACTTAAATCTGTGATAAATACCTAGAAAACAAAACACGCAGCACATCTGCTAGAGAGGAGAATGTCAATGTAAACTTGCTCTCAAAAGAACAGCCAAATAAAATATTAGCTATCCAAATACAGACATGTTAAATCAGCATGCATTTGTACATAATCAGAGGACTCTACAGTAGTCTCTTGTTTGACTATGCCTTGGGCAAGAGGCAGCAACAGTTTTAATAACAAGTTAACAACAGAAATCCAACTGATACGAGAAAGCCAACAACGAAGGAGCCCACAAATTTAATTTTGCTGCTTCTTAGAGCCAGGATTGTTATGGTACACACCACCTTTACCAACCTCATTCTAACACTTCAGTATGAATAAATGGCAGCCATCATTCAAAAGAGCAGTTAATTGGGAATGACAGTGTGAAATATACCTAATGTTTGTAATACACATTCAGAAGAGGAAAAAAATTAGGAGACCGCTCCTCTCTACTGTGTGATAGGAAGTTGCATTTACTAACTGGCTATACAACAACCTTCAGACACTCACTTTTCCTCTGCCATATTCCTCATTCGTGCTAGAAACATGCACTTACTGTTGGATCAGTATTCTTTCAGTTCCCCCCCCCAAGAAAGCAAATTAAAGAAGCAAGCAAGAAAGAAGAGTTAAGTAAGAAGGCAGAGAGACACTGGAAAAAAAAGAGATGAGAGAAGGACAAAGGGCTGTAAAGAGCACTTTGTAAGAGGATCCATTCCTTCTTTCTCTGCTTTCCATCTATCCTTAGTGTCCCGAATCATCTTCCTCATTAAGGAAGCTCAGCAAATCTTGAGGGTCTCTGTGACCATGTCTTTCCACACTCCTTTTGTAACACTGTAGCAATTAATCCATTCGATAGCCACCCTCACCCTCCAAGAGCACTGAGCACTGCAAATTGAGATCCACTCTCTTTTCTAAATCCCATTTTTCTTCGGTTTTTTTTTTTTCTTTCTTTTTTTTTTTTTTCCCCCTGCATCCTTTATACACTGATACTCAAGGATTATAGAAGAGGAAGACAGAGTACTTGAGGGTTACCTAGTCTGTTGCAGCCTTACCCCACTTTCCTTGAAAAGCATCATACGGACATGTTCTTCATCCTGCTGTTGCCACTTTGTGTGGTAACAACCATCACCCCCAACCCATTTCAGTGCTGTAGCTGATTTACAGATCACGCTTAGTGTTTTCCAAAAAAATGCAAACCATCACACTTGTGGACTATGACTACTTGCACAGCACAACAGGAGGAAATATAATTTGCTAGTAATTTAGATCTAAACTGCATTGAGAACAAAGTACTTTTTGTAGTGTAGTTTCCCACAGAAGTGAGATTTATGTAATAGCTTTTAGTATTTATTTGTCTATTCCTTCCTCCCCATTTTCCCAAATTTCATTTAACTCTCTGGCCAGTTTGTACCAAAAACAACACTTAAAAAAACAACACTTAAAAAAAAATCAACAAAACCACATGGGGCGGGAGGGGGGCAGGACTGGAAAATTGTTAAGGAAAATTTGGCAGTAAGATAAGGAAAAGGAATCTAAAATTTTTGTCTGGACTAAGCCAAAAGCAGAAAGCATTCATCATTCAGAACTCTACTTGGCAAAAACTCCCCAGCTAACCAGCCTAACCTAGAAAGTGGTGTTTAATCAGGATCCCAGACCAGCTGCGGTCCATGCCCAAAGCACATACCAAAAAGGTCATATACGGATTTCGGGTCAATAGCCACAAATCTGAAGGTAATCAACTTCAGTTCTGGATCACATAACACAGCTGAAATATGAATTTTGCCTGATCTCTAACTCCCCAGAGAGCAATGATTGTTTTGGCACAGCTCATCAGAGCAAATGTGCACAAATGTCCCTCTCTTTGTTTAGACTGGATTAAGGCAATTTTAAGTATAAATTGGGGTCCCACTCACCATCTGGAGTTACAGTCACCTCCCCCCTACATAGCACAACCCTTTCTTATCACCAGGGTAAGCATAACTTGCAGAGCAGGACAGAAAAGTGGGACAACTGTTTCTCTCCATCAGATAAGATTTTTTCCACTCAAAAATACTGGCAATTCTGGATTTACAGAAAATTGTGCAAGTCACATCCACTGCTGGCAGTACCCTTCACTGCAATGGATCCCAGAGCTGACAGGCAAGTACACTATTGTTTCAGATCTACTGGAGATGGGGGCTTGCTCTGC